CGCCGCCGTGATGAATCCGTAAGAATACAATGAAATCTCTCCTATCATTCCGTAATCCGGAACCATCATTGCTACAGTTCTAAATAGGACTTTTAAATTATCGGGTAGTTCTTGACGTCCGGCATAACCCGGATTCATTGTGATGAAGACACTACATGTGGGATCTAAAGATAATTCAGTGCCCTCAAACACAAACTTTTCCAGTTTTGCCCCAACAGCCATTTGAATGCACAAAATTTGTTGAGCTACCACTGAAAGTACTTCTAATTCGATGCGATTGAATTCATCAAAGCAAGCCCAAGAACCTGCTTGTGCCAATCCTTTGAAGAACTTCCCGAGTGCTTTGTAATCCAACCCATCCGAGCAATTAAACACCACGCATTTTTAGCCACGGCTTTCGCTAAATCTTTGACTGTTTCGGTTTTACCTGTTCCAGCTGGACCTTCAGGTGCACCCCAAGATTCAACTTCAGTGCGCCCATCAACGTACGATAACAACGATCCGTCAAGGGTGTTGCCACCAGGCGGCCAAAGTTTCCCAAATACTCAAAACCATAGGCTACGTCGGTGGTGATCATTGAGACGGTGACGTTGTAGTCCATCCAATAATAACGCAACTGGGATATCCATTGGAAGTCAGATACTGCTTCCACCTTGTTGTCTCGTAGTGATTTGGCGATGTCTCTACCATGCACGTCGATTACAATTAGAGCTTCGATGGTAATTTGACTACCCGAATCAAGTTTTCCTTGCACTAACTTAACCGACTGTTCGATTTGATTGGTGCATTCCATGACACGTTTATCTAATGATTTCTCCGCGATGGACCTGGTCACGTCGTGTGTCCATGTAATGCAATTGACGCATTGAACGACTTGTCCTGGCCACGCCAAAATCCATTCGGGTCGTTTGGAACTCGGATAAGCTTTCAAAGAACCAGCGATGGTATCCTTCATCGACTGAATCATTAGAGTTTCAACTTGCACCAGCCACTTCTCAACCATGCCTTTGGCTTCGTGCGGGTGAATACGACCACTAAATGCAACATATTCCTTTTCGGCACTGATCATGCCAATCACTTCTTCGTTATCAACAAATTTGAGATGATGAATGCCTTCGAAACATTTCTTCAAATGTGGTTGCACTCTTTGAGGATCCTTGGTTTCGGATAGAATCTCTAATAGCTCATCGTTTGATAGGAAGAAGAAGCGTGGAAAGAAGAGTCGTTTCTTTTCAAGATAATTATTTAGACCTTTCTGTATATCATCTAGAAGTGTGTTGTTTTCATGCAAGATAGTCAACATGTTAGGATAATTTGTCGCTTCAATAACATGTGGATCATTCATAGTGCAAGCCTGAATCATTCTCCAACTTCGATCGACAGCTTTAAAGTTTCTCGCCTCCGTGGGCATTTGTCGCATAATATCCTCGGAACTGAAAATTGGTTCAAGGTACATCCACGTTGCTTGACACTGAAAAATAAATATTATTAGAAAGCGGTTTTGGAAGATTCCTAACCAGATTGTACCATTAGCCATTGCTCCAAAATATCTTGCATTCCGACAAGTTTCGATTCCCAATCCTGCATGTCAGCCTCAAACGGTTTTACATATGGGGATCCACGCATTGTCTGCGCTTTCAAAATGTGATCGTCTAAAAGAACTTGAATATCATCTATGGCGGCTAAGATGGATACTCCTGTCTCTCTGTATGGAACAAGTTCAAAGCAGACGTCCAGCCATTCTTCCTTCATCTTCATGAGACTAATCTCCAGTGCATACTCCTTGGAGGCGGCCGCACTAATTTCTTCCAATTGCGGAATAAAATCGGTCATGCCTGCATCGATCATATCACTCAATGACGAATCTGGTGTTATTGGTAGCTCAACATTCATAACCTTCCGAATTTGGTCCCAATGTCGTTCCTGCAGACCCTTGTTGCATACTGTTTGAAGTACCGGTATTAAAGTACGGAACTTTTCCACTTTAGCGCGTACAATTTCCGCGACTCTTCGGGCACCTGCATTTTCATGCAAGGATTTTCCAAGTTTGTAAAGAATACGCCACATTTCTTCAATTTCCTCCGCAACAGCATCGGCATCCAACACCTCGAAAGGCCCATAGTACCAAGTTTCGTATTTTCGTGGAACCCAAGTACGGTATGCCATAACTTATCGAATGGCTCAAGGCTAGCAATCATCTGGTACAAACTTGTGAAGCGTGAAACTTCAAAATCTAGCAGCGTTTCTTCTAAATTAATTTCCTCGGCATCCGCTTTGTCGTCCATCAGTTTCTGTACAAGCTTTTCAATTACTTCAGTGTTCTCCAACATTTCGTCCATTGTAAGCATAGCTGGATCTTTTTCTTAAATGCTACAACAAGTTTCTCATGTTTTTCAACCTCTTATCGAATTGTTGCCGTTTTAATCGAAGCATCTGTTCGGCCTGCTCGCGTTTCATATTCAATCGCTGCAGAGCCAGGTCAATTACATTCTCCATGTCCTTGGGCCAAACGAACACTCTTACATTCAATTGAATATCCTCACGAGTGAGATGCGCATATTGCATGAGAAAACTAATATTCTCAGCCGTTTTCGAATCTTCTCTCGAATATTAAACATTGTAACATCTCGACATTCTATGACATAGTTCATTAACGCGACCAGGTCTGCTACAGTTTCGGGAGTTTCCGAAACTTTCTGAGACATCTCATCAAACATGTTGCAAATGGAACGATTGTGGTCATGACTCGCTTTGACAAAATACTTGACTATATATACTCGTAAGTCGTCAATAATTTTATATAAAGCATCATTGAGTTCTCCGCATTCTAAACTAACCAAATTTAGTGGAATCGATCTGCGCAGGAAAATGATTTCATTCTTGATTGCTTCATATTTTCAATGCGTTTGCCAAAGTCCTTCAGATAGGGGAATGGATCTTGATTAAAGAACTCCATCAAACTGCGTTCAGCTTCCCCGTTGAGAATATAGCAGTATTCGTCGTACATCTTCAAGTACTCTTCGCAACCACTTATATTCGGCAAGTAACACTGTTGTACTTGTTCGTAAATCTCGAGAACGACGGGCTCGTCTCGCGGAATTGCAGTTAGTGTTAGTTTCGGTTGGTTATCCAGTTCCGGGAACAAGGTCATCTCAACTCTGGGAAGGGACTCCGTCGCCGTTAATACATTGTTCAAAAATCCAGTCACAATGTTTTGTACTTCGTTCATATTTGGAATTAGCTTAATGTTGCAGGTATTTTTTGTGCTTTTGCAAATACTTGTACCAAGGGATATTTGTCAGCGCCATATCCGCATATTCATCTCCGAAATTATTACCCACCTGGAACTTAGTCATAAACTCTAAGACATGTTCCAGACTCTTTACTACTAGCTCACGCATCATGAGCATCATGAGAGTGGCAACACAATTGAAGAAACTGTCGATTAAGACCTGGCTATCGTATTCATCTTGAGGTGCAATACGTTCCCAAGTTTTACGTGGATAATGAAGAGATCTGCGCAGTCGGCCATGAAGTCATGCTCGATTTGCCTTCTGCTATATTGGCATAGCTCCGCAGATTTCGCAGCCATGCCTTTATATCAAGTGGTAATGTGACTAGGTCTTCAAGTTCTGAGAACGGTAAAATGTACATCTGTCGGTACTTTTCGTACCAAATTTTCCGAATGCCAATTAGAATTGGATTGCCGCAGAAGTAACGCCGCTCCATGAATTGTTTCGCAATATTGTAGCTGGCATGCGTAGGCACAGGACCGCGAATGATTAAAGGTGGATAGATGGAGGGTTTTGAACGAATTTGAAGGCGTTGCCATTCGTAAGGATCTTGCAGCGCATAGTCAAGAAGAAACCTTCTCATTTCAATATAATAATGGCTCTCAATTTCATCTGGGTATGTTGCCATTATCTCATCAAATGATGGCAGCAAGGTGTATTTCTCAGGAATTAACTTTTTGCTAGTTCTATGTAACTTGGATCATAAGGTTCAATGGCGTCATCTGGAATACCCTAAATACAAAAAGTTGAAGTTTAATATTGATTTAACAATAAATATCTCATTACTTCAGTCAAATAATAGTTGATACGCTCTACATCTACATCTCTGACGGAGTTCTTCATTTCCCTCTCCGCATATGATATCAACATCCTTTTTGAGTATCAATATCTACTGGAAAAGGCGCTTGTAGATGTTTGAAAGCTCTAAAAATGTAGTAATATTGTTTAGAAGGAATCTATTTATGTGTAGAGTGAACGAACCTTCTTGGGAGTATTGGCGGCCGAGGTCGAGCATTTTTCGACGACGTTGACGTTCGGCTCTGTGTTTTTCGATAATACTCACCACTGGTAAGCTCTTCAAGTGTTACAATTCCTACCGTTACTTCCCTTCTTCTTTCTTCTTCTAATATCCGCTTCTCTTCAGCTCTACGTTCGGCGTTTGCCTGAACGGAAACACCTTGAATGGTGCCATCCGCATTGAATAACTGGCAGACTTTCGGGCGTTTTCTTGGCGGCATATTTTGGATTTTAAGTGATTGCGCACTTGGCGTATAACACGCGCCTTTTCAAGAAGACCATAATTACAAACCTAATAAATGATTGCGTACAAATTTACCTATAACTTCGCTGGGCCGATAAAACACGAAGGTGTCCTTAAATAACACGCCTTTCATGTGTGCATCTTCAGAAAAAGCGGGGATACTCTATGGTGTCCCAATCCCGCTTTACTGTAAACGAGGGAGGTGTCTCGCCGTAAGGTGCTACCCATGGCATGTACGGAGGTTTGGGTGCGACCTGCCTGCCGAACTTATCACAAATCGGCAAGGTTCCCTCCTCCATTGTAAAATTATAAAAACACTGATTTACTAAAATGTAAATAGTACTGTCGTAGTAAAATTCGATCCTTGACTTGAAGTAAACAAGTCGCGACAGTTAGCGTCGCCAGGGTAATTGTTGTATTGATTAAACAATTGAAGCCAAAATACATTTTAAAGTATTGCTATTTATTAGCATGCGTACTCCAAAAGCGCCCTTATAATAATATAAATAGAATGACAATTATAATATAAATACAATAAAATAATACCCGATTTTTAATACATTATAGTAAATACCATGTGGTAACCCTCAATTAATGCCTTTTCGATTTGTTTCGATAGCTGACTGACGGTATTTGTCCGGAGCTCATAGATGTCCAATCGTCCGCCCGTTGCGGTACGACCGTTTCCTGATTTCGATGGAATTCGGTCTGGTTCTCTTGTTGCTTGTACAACTTTTCGGTTGGAGTCATCATTGGATCTGTTGTAGCGCATGATGTGAATTTCCACTCTGTAAAGCAAACTGCGTAAAACATAAAGAATCATTGTCGAAATCATACCCTTTGCAAGCATGCGGATGCGTTGCAGAAGAAAATCTTTGTCCTTTGACTCAATGACGATCATCTCACGCAGGACGCTCACCATTTTCTGCTGTGCGAGTGCTCTAGCCCTCAGATAGTAAATAAAACCCTGTAAATTCACAAGAGAGTTTCAATCTATTAAGGATATGTATATTAGTGAAAAACTTACATCATGACGGTAATCACCACGGCAACCACGCCAGGTTTTAGCAAGTAAGCTAGAATTTGCAACACCATAACTCCCTGCTCCATCTTCAAGATTTCGTCCTTCAAAAATCGTAAATATACTTCCTTTCTTCCAACGAACTTCCAAACGGCCCACAATTCGACGCATATACCCTAAAACACCCAGGAAACTAATATTGTTAGCACTAATATTTAGAATTTGATTAACGTACAATGCCATGATGCACCCCAAAACAGCCATGATTAACAATGCTGTCACAAAAGTGATGACCAGAAACCATGTATGTGTGTTGGTCGCGCGCCAAAACTTTGTCGATGGTTTCGAGAACTTGATTTCCACAACGGTTGTAAAGTACCACATGATCAAGAACTTGATGACTATCATCGCGCCTAATACTGGCGTAAACAACAAACCCAACCAAAATAAAGCCTGATTATAGATAAGGTGAACTGTGTGTTTGGCAATTTCAAACTCAGGCCTTTCCATTTTGAACGAGCGAACCTAAAGGTAAAAATTTTCAGCCGCCTGAAAAAACTACCCGAAATAAATTACATACATTGCCCAGATGCAGCGTAGAAGTCTTTCGCCAACGAAGAATCCAAGTGCGAAGAAGAAATCAACAAGCAACAATCTGTACACCTCCTGTCCGAGTTTAGTCTCCCAACAACCGGACTAGAAAATAATCAATTTTGATATAAATTTTTTGTTGTATTGCTGATATGCTTACAATTTTGTGTGCGCGAAACAACCAAAATCCAGCCAACACACCGATGATGGCCGCGTGCAGTATGAAAGTCCGCAATAAGGTGATGTTAAAGGCTTTGCGCGGATTTTTGTAGTCCTCGTGATGCGCTATCAGCGAGAATATTACTGGCACTATATAAATCACGGCGTTGATTACGATCGCCGTAAATAAACCGCCCCAGTCGCTGTTATCTGCCACCCAGTGCAGCTCGAGCAGAGCCAGATACCGTAACCGCTCGCGCCGACCACTACCAAAACTAACAAATGCCCTGCTAGCCGTAACATAAAAGTGAAAAATTTCGACTTGCACGATAATTGCTCATGCGACCGCAGTTCCTCTTCAAGAAGTTCCTTTAAATGTAAAAGAAAACATTCAATAAATAGGTAATAGTTAAAATAAGTTTTAAAAATTACCTTGAATTCGTGATAAATCGCTGATGATTTTAATCTCGACGCATTCTCGGTTGCAATGCTAAAATCCCATGTGCAAAAGACTTTGTGCGCAAAGATGTTCTTCAATCCACCTTTTGTTTCAATAAAATTGACTCGATATGACCTCATCATGCTGAAAGCAAACAGATGTTGTTTGATTAGTTCTATGTTAATTGGCCCGTGTGTTGCGCTTTACCTGATTGCTAAAACCAACAAAAGTAGGCCATAAACACATATCATCGTGTAAAAGTAAGCAAGCGGCATGGAATAAGAGAAATTATTAGCGACATGAATTGTAATGTTCTGGTAATAGCCGTAAAGAGAATGGAAGTCTCCAAATAACCCTTAAAATCGTAGTTAAAAATCCAAAATAAACAAAAACTTTAAAATAAACATTTAAAATCTCAATACCTGTCCGGTGAGAAGGTCAATCGCATTAAATTGGGCTGTTTTGGTTGCTTTTTAGAAACTAAGTGAATAATTTCCGGCAGGGCAATAAAACAAAAGCAAAAAAGAAAGTAACACAGTTTAACAGGAATAAATGCCGAAAGAAACGAAAATAAATTGCTGTAGCAGAGCCAAATTCGCCTTCGATTTTTTCATTGTTCCATTCCAAAGCTCAAAAATCATGAGAAAATCTTGAAACTTTGATCGACACTGCAAAACAAATTTTTATAAAGCACAAATGGTTTTACAATATTTTGTGAGCTAAGCCAACCTTTCTTGATGACAAACTCATGTTGTATTTCATTTGCTTCCATCCTGATACTCTCTTGGATTGTGTCATTCGAAGATGCAATCTTTCCTTTACCATTTTCTTCATTGTAAGGCTTTGGGGCATGTTTTTCAGGGCATCCTGTCTATACTCCATGCCAGTCATAGCACTCTCTCCCAGAAGACATGCTTCTTCCTCCACAATTTTATCGACAATCTGATTGACATGATCATTGGCTGTTTCTTCCATATTTGAATCTGAAATTATGCACTTTAATAACTTAAATTGTTTAAATTATATCTACTCACATGATGTGTGCTCCCTGTCATCAGGACTAGTAGCACCAGCTCTTAATGATCTGATGTTGGCAGTTCTATGCATTGAAAGTCTTCGATGCCTGTAGTCATCCTCAAATGGGGCCTCCATTTCTGAACTGGTGTCACTGTGATCCATCACAATACGATCAAGCTTATCCGCCAAATTCACACAAAAAATCTACGCTAACATAGGTATTTTCATAGCGTTATCAACCGGCAAACATTAAACAATTGAAGATAACACGTTTGTGTGATTGACTGGAATTATGCGAATGATTTCAATTCACTATTTTATCGTAGAAATAAAATTAATATCGCAATCATACTAATTGTTTACAACGTTCATGCTCGAGAGGTGACCAATAACAATAACAAACATGATTATTACAAATGCTTGGTTACCGGAGATTAGCCAAGTCTACGTTGCTTGCAGGTTTGGTTAGTCAACTTATTGCATACAGAATGTACGTGCGAAAACTTAACAAAACTACATCCTAGAGTCACATGTACTAGTGCAATCATGGTAATTTGCGTTTGTATTATTAATTACGCATAAAAACAAAGCGATATAACTTGTTTAGTAAATGGTTTGTGGTATAAGCAATATAAATTGGATGTAGGTAAATAAATTTTGGTAGTAAAATTTTGAAAACGCTGATAACGTGCGTGTGTGCTGATAAAACGGATTGATTAAAATCGAAAGAAAGGCTTTGTTATCAACGCTAGAAGGCTGATTAAGGTTAGCGCTGATGTGGTGGGGTGAATGTTGTTGTTGTTGCATAAAATGTGGTAAATTGTTTTGTTTAGTTTCTATCACGTCTCTATGGTTTTGTCGCGCCCCACTCCGCCGGCCGCGGCAGATGGCGCGCGCGCCGCTGCGAGGCATTCGGCCGCCTAGCGCGTTCAGTTTCCATCGGCGCCGTGCGCGTTCTCCCACGTTCCGCTCGCACCTCACGTGTTTGCGAGCAAGCATCCCGCATTAGCGCGTCGGGCTGTTATGAAACCATCGCATCGGGCGCAGGTGCCATTCACGATAACAGCGCAAGAGGCATCATTTGCCGGCGGGCGGAATTGTTGGTTTTGCGGGCCGCCCGCGACCCTGTAGCACTAGCGCGTGAAGCGCGTCCGGGCCGTCATCGCCGAAAACAACACCGCACCGTTGGCGCGCGCGTGTGTGCGTGCGCGAGTGTCGCGAGCGTCGTCTCGTGCGTGTGCAGTGTGTGCAGCCGCGTTAGGCAGCGGCGGTGATAACGCGTCCGCGCGCGCGTCATTTGCTGTTTGTCGCGGACGATGGCTTACTCGCACACCGCGGAGAGTGACGCCTGGGCGCTGCTGGCGCTTAAGTCGGCGCCGGCCAGTCCCTCGAAGGTGCAGTGGAACCCCGAGGAGAAGGGCGCGCCGATCGCGCGACTGGAGGGCCGCGAGTTCGAGTACATGGTGCGCCAGCACCGCATCACCATCGGCCGCAACAGCAGCAGAGGCGACGTCGACGTGAACATGGGCCACTCCAGCTTTATCTCTCGCAAGCACCTGGAGGTGTTCTTCGAGCACCCGTTCTTCTACATGATGTGCAATGGCAAGAACGGCGTGTTCGTCGACGGCGTCTTTCAACGCAAGGGCGCCCCATCGATTCAACTACCTAGAGTGTGAGTTATTTGCGCCGTTTCAGCCTCCCTAGTGTGATGCCCTATCCGCCTCTGACCGTCCAATTGGACTCACTTCACTGCCGCACGTGTTCTGCGGGCCTTGAGGTTATTACGCATGGCCTCTACGCCTCTCCATTTGTGTCAGGTGTTTGGCGTCGCTTTTATAAACCTAAACCGATCTGTGCTCATTGCCCAATCGGATTCGCATTATAAATACATGCGATATTTGCATACGCATCGTGTGCGCCGCGTGCGCTTCATTTCCGCCCGCCGGCGGTGGAAAAACCGCGCTCGTTTGCGGATTGTTTGTTTTGTTGTTGGCGTTCGGTGAAATGTGCCGCATCGCGTTTATAAATACGCCGCTGCTTGGAAGTCGCGCACTCGTCGTGTGTATTATTTTCGTGCTGCGCGCGGCGAGCATGTGCGCGCCTAACCTAAAATCGGAGCTGGCTGTGCTGCGTGCGTTACATAAACACGTTGCGCGGCTCACTTCCAAAACATTACACATTGCGGGATTGCGGCCACGGCTGGTAAAATTCCGCGCCGCCGTGTGTTACCATGGCCGGCGAGCGAAGATCGGGTGGCCGCGTGACGATATTGTTGCAACAACACAACAGAGCGCGCCGTCGAGCGCGCGCTGGCCGCAGGATCATCCTGCGGCGCGCCATGACGAGCCAAAATGTTTGTTTACATCGAGCGCTCGTCGCTCGACGTTTCGGCGTGTTATTGATTCTAATTTGTAGTTGCAAGCGGGGCACAAAGGAGCTCATTCTGTGGCTTATTACCCACGTGTAGCAAACTGCTTATCTCTCAGGAAATTAAAGGCCATTACTCAAATTATTTATCAATAGATTCGGAATTCGGGTTGTAACCAAATTTCATTCAGGAATTTCTTTTCAAGAAATAAGTATTCATTGCATACTAGTTTAAAAACATCATAATATTGACAGAAGATGTTGTTTTCAATGCTTCTCATTAGCAACATTAGAATCTGCATTTTTACTATTATACGGTGTAAATTTTAACTTCGCAGAAAGTGATACGTGATATTTCGCACACAAGTGCGTAAAAGTACAGCTGCTAGATTCTTTTTCTGATTTTAAGCGCAAAATTCACTTAAAACGCTCAAAATAGTTCAAATCTAATATAATACTGCATTACATTACGTTGTTAGACTATGAACGCTGTTTTGTTGAAACTTAGGACTTGTTTTCGTCGATCTCCATACCGAAAATGCCGCAATTACTAATCAAACGTTTTCCTGCCGTACTGCCTGCGGCAAAATAACACACAACACACCTGTGTACCAACACGAAGCCCGACCAAAAGTGTTTACTGTTTGCTTGTTTACAACCATTGTGTATGGTGTAGTACAACTCTCAAGTTGTACGGTTTGAAGACGGCAGATATAGATCAATGTGTAATATTGATCATGTACGGAAAGTTCAGAAAGCGATGGGCGCACGCGGCGCGCTCGCCTGCATTATTTCCTTATTTTCCCAACACGCGCGCCAGTGCCCGTTTTATCGATCTCGCCGCTTTCTACACCGATGTATTAAATACGCGTGTTTGTACGCGCGGTATCAAAACCACGCGCCATCCGCTCCGGGCGAAATAACATGCCAAGATTGGCAATGGCAAGACAATACCCCAACGTGAACATTCTAATCAACAAACTTCCAAGTCGTACACCAATGTGGTTACATATGATCGTGATATAGGTCGGACTTTGGCGAGATTTGAGTTCGTAACTGAATTTCACGCCTGGAAAATCAAGGAAGCCGTGCGTTCGCGTTTTCCGCATCACTTCGTGTTTGTACCCTTCGGGAGCACCTGTTGCATGCTCCTGTGTGCGGGCGCTCACACATGCAGGCGAATCAATGTCTTCGAGGGCAGCTCATATTGATTCGATTCGCGTTCGGGGTCGCACCGCCGACTGACTTTCCCGCTACCCGATTCTATTTTCGTATTCAAATTGCAAAGAAAGGGCTTTTACTCTCGTCTGATTCGCCTACTACTAGCGCGACTGCTTTTGTTTAATGTCCTGCCTGCCCTCCAGCCCGAGAACTCATCATCAAATTAACAGTTTCTAGAGTAAGCTTCTCTTCGCTCTTGTTTGCATACGCGCTCGACCTTTAGCAGGCGGCGAGGAAGCCGAAAGCGACGCGCTGAACGGCCGATTAAACAAATCGAGTGGCGAATCGCGCACCGCGGCCGACAACTGAATCAAAACAAGCGCGCGATAAGCACTTATTCGCGTTTATTTATATAGAAAATTCCGCGTTTCGAGGTCGAAAATAGAACGCGAGTACGCACGCGGTTCGTGCGAGCCCCGACCTGAGCGCTGTTTCTCACTGTTTCGCGCTGCTGTGGTAAAGGGTACCTTTGTTGGTGGTACGGCGTGGCACGTGGAAAATAATAAATTTGTCCGCGATCTAGTCCTCCGCTTTTTCCAAGCAGCATTGATTTAATGAATTTCTTATGTTGTATATTCTCGACGCCCATATTTGATACACCATAATGGTGTGTTCTATCTTGGATTCTTTAGCTGCGACTTATTTGTGTTTACGTTCAGAATTGTGATGTGAATGATATTTGAAACGCGAACGTCGCATTTGTTTTGCGTCGCTCGTTTGCGATAAAATTCAACGTGTGTGCAGCAGCAGCGCACCACACATGCTTTTTATTATTATTATTGCGGATTAACATTTACACTCACTCGACTCGATAATTGCAGTTTTGGGCGATTGCACAACGTTCGCATTGGGCCGATTAATGCCGGATCGGATTTCATTCAACAATGCATGTTATAAACCGCACGCATTTTATTTTATTTATATTATTATTATCAGTCGAATAATGTGCATACCAACCTGTCTGTGTACGCCGTATTGAATTCACCGAGTGTGGAATGTGTGAAGCAACGCTTCGCAAATGTACGTACTGCACTTAAACGGTGTCCGATTTTCAACGCGCTCGTTTTCATTCCGTGCACTTTTCTCGCAGTAATAAAACATGAATGAAACATCAAATTTAGACCTGAATGCGACCCGAAAACAAGCTAGTTTGACCAGTTGGATGGTGAATTCATTAAGGCGCCGCATAGTCTATCATTTTGGTGGATATTTGCTTTTCTTTTCAACCTTAGCTTCTGTTAAGTAATTTTTCCAATTGATTGTAAACGAATCAAATCGTTCGCTTTTATCCGTGCAGATCATTAATTTTAACAAGTGTCCGTAGCTAGCTGTTGACGATGTGTTGAAAGCGTTATAATTTGAAAAATTGTCGAATCATGTTAGAATTATTTTTGCTAATGATAGCGCGACGCATACAATTATTATGAAGTAATACCACATTTGCTTGGCGCGTGTTTGTTTACAATTTCAGGTTGCTCAAACAACGGACAAACCAGTTTTTGTCAACATTTTGGAAACATCTACTGCGCGGACGCAAATAAACAATGTTGATTGTTCAGTCGATGTTGCAAACTAGGCGATAGATATTTATGCGCCCGGTAAAGGCGCGCAAATTTCAATCAACATTAATTGGTTTTACCGAAGTCGTATTTAATATTTAAGTATACAGGATTATTCATAAAGTTTTAGAATTATATTTTGTATATTTAGAAAATTCTACTACTTTAATTGTTTACATCTTTTCATGCAATTAAATTGAATGAAAAATCAGGTTTATTCGTAGGTTGTTATTGAATTTTGTTCAACATCTTATTCTGGATTAATCCTAGTAAGCGAAATTAGTTTTAAGTACTTTATGTGAGTTTAAAATGCACGTTTAATGCGAAACTACTATAACCCAAGATGTACTTTATTATTAAATTAAATGATGTGGTCGGTTTTTGCACTTCGGCCATAGGGCATGTCGCAAAATTTTACATATTATGCATTACATCATATTTCCTCATATTATTCTCGTTGCAATGTTATATAATACTAATTCTTTTCTTTTTAGTTTTTTCTTGTAGACGTTATTGTAAAAGTTATCTACTTAACAGATTTTAACTTTTTATGAAGGCTCCATTAATTCTAAAGCTGTGGAATTGCGAAACATATGAGAAAATGCAGCCTGAATTTAGTTTTTGTTTAATTTTTTACTTACTCTGGAATATTGCGCACATTTTATAAAATCTATATTGACGACAATTTAATAAAACTGTCACACAGAACTACCGTATGATCTAGTTATGCTATAACAAATGATTGGTAAATTAGTGTTTGAATTAAATGTCGAACTATTTAGCACTGAAATTTTCTCTTTTATATCACTAGGTCGTTTTGAATATAGAAAATCAAACGTTTATACATTAGTGATCAAAACTATATGTTGAGTACCCTCGAAATTGAAATAGTGTTGTTTATATTTGATAAACACGCGCAAACTAACCTTTAATAATTCACTCTTGTCAACTCCATCAAACTTTAAAACAAGTATTATGAATACTAGCATTAAGCATGTGTATTATTTCACATGACTAAAAATCTATTTGGTATATTTGAAAATTACTGAGTTATGTAGTTGCAGAAAATATTGTATATTTAATTACCTTTTCTAACAAATTTGAGTAATCAAAATTACGAAGAAGTATTTAAGTTTGGTTTCCATTGTTATTGTTTGCTTTCATGAATTTTCACGCAGTTTTTTTGCCGGTGGCAATTTCTGCATACCACAATAATAATATCAATAATATAAATAACGCATAACATGACCTTCGTGTGTCGTCATCGGCCACTTCAATATTCAACAACGCGACACGACAGCCACTCTGTATGCAAACAACATGACGTGTGTGTTGGTAAAAGTATAAATAAAAATCTGGTATAAACACACGCGGCGAACATTCGATTTTCTTGAATCGAGTGCGGCTGTGAGTGCCCGATTACATGAGAACACACCGTTCACCGCCGGTAATCAATATTTAAGCGTAAATTTCCTCACTCGACTGCACATTCATCTACATTTTGATTGTTTACACGCAATTTGAAGGATTACGCTGTTTGTTAATTTGCGAATTGATAACGATAACAAATGCAGTGTGTATAAGTTGTATATACGTTTAATTAAGGCGCGATCAATCTACGTGTGTATTTATTTTAGGCTGAAAATAAACTATTTTTCGCGACGCGTAAACTTTAACGCTGCCGATCGAAAAAGATTAGATTAACAGTTTTTTTCTTTCGCGGATTGCACTTTGTTATCACGTTGATTTCGCCTAGTCTATGCAAGTGCATGCGAAAGTTTCCAGGATATGCATACATAACACTACACATTTATTTCTGGTGCGGCCTGTCAGAGACAATTCCAGTGCTGACGCACGTTGGTATGCACGCATTTTGCATAGTCGGTTGCAAAATTTTTAAATTTCTTTCTTCTATATTTTGCGTCATGCGCAATTATCCTGCTCTTATCCATCCTATCTGTTTAATATGATATTATTGTCTTGCGGTGCTTACAAGAACATGCCATGTGTTACAGATGCACGTTTAGGTTTCCAAGTACAAATATTCGACTGCAATTCAGCTCGCTGGTGGATGAGACGAGTGAGACGCCGCCGAAGGTGCGCGACGTGTCACCGGTACGTATAAGAGATCGCACCGGCGGAGGCTATCCGCTGCCGCCGTTGAGAATCAACATACCTGCTGACAACGACACCTACGGCAGCCCGTTTCCGTCACCCACGGGTACCATCAGCGCGGCAAACAGCTGCCCTGCAAGCCCCAGAGGCGGTCATGGCCGTCGAAATATATCCGCCGACTTAAATCTGGTGGCGCACTACGCCGCGCAGGTGGTGCACCCTGAGGACGTCCACCAGTCGTCCGCTAATCACAGTCCCGATTATCGGCAGCCTACGCCTAATGGCAATTCGGTGCGTATATAAATATTTGCTGGCGGCACTATTATTGTCTAATTTTGTTTGGTGTAGTTACAGCATAAAGACAGCTATGGCGGCGGCGGGGCTAGCGGCGCGAATAAGGATGATGCCAAACCACCCTACTCGTATGCACAGCTAATAGTCCAAGCTATTGCAAGTGCTCCCGACAAACAACTAACCCTCTCTGGCATTTATAGTTACATCACGAAACATTATCCTTATTATCGCACCGCTGACAAAGGCTGGCAAAACTCCATTCGACACAACCTCAGCCTCAACCGATACTTCATTAAGGTACCTCGAAGTCAAGAAGAACCGGGAAAAGGAAGCTTTTGGCGGATAGACCCGCAATCCGAGACGAAACTCATCGAACAAGCATTTAGGCGGCGACGGCAGCGTGGTGTGCCGTGTTTTAGGCACCGTTTGGTCTCAGTTCCAGGTATGATTCCTAATAATACACGAATCGCAACGTTTTTTTTACACATATTTCATTTTTAGAGCGCACCAGCGTCGCCAAGCCACGTCAACATGTCTGGCCTTATGACTCCGGAGGACTGTCTCGTGAAGGCTCCCCACGCCGGAGCACATGATTGAAGTAAGCCAGTCAGCACCGGGTAGTCCTGGTTCAACTAACTATGGCGGCGGCGGCGGTGTTATTGGCCATCAGCAAATGAGCGCGCTTGTGGGCGCTACCAAAACACGGTTACTGATGTCTCAGCGTGCCGAACTGCAGGAACATGTTCAGTTGCAACAGCAGCAGGGACCCTCTCAGATCCAACCTTCAAATGGTCAAGAATACCGTGAAGGTATTATGGTTCGTCGCGCGTTTCAATCAATGTATTAATTACGCATTTATTTTAGACAAATACTTAATACCTGTCGGGAACTACATTGAGGATCGGTCGTTGTCGCCGTCGGCAACATTTTCTCCGCAGCCCGTTATCGTTCAAACGTCTAATTATACACCTTACAAGTAAGAAACATTAATATTAAAAACAACATTCATTGTTTTTCGTATCTTGAATTGAATCTATAGTGAAATATACAGAAATAATTTAATGCATGACCATATTAATAAAAATGTCACTCAGTCTATAAGTAACACAATGCAATCAATAATGCATGCACAATAGTCACATTCAGAATGAAATACGTCAGAGTGAAATAAAGGTGTTGTTAAAACATGTTGAAGCATAGTATAATAACGAATTGTCGCTTGCAGCCCGGGCGAATTAAAACGACACTTAGAAGAGGTGGTAGAAAGCCCTGCGGATAGCCCGACGCACATTGTGGAAGCGGCTGACAGTAGCCTGGAGCCGGAAATCAAGCGGCCTCGTCCCGACCAGCCGCCCTACGACACCGAATAAACACACTATTTGCATGCATTGGCAAAGACCGGACAGCTGATGGGCTTCTCGGGCGCTAGCTGACAGCACACGAAGTGCATCAAACAATTGCCAGTAATGGAATTCGACTCAATAATTATTTCGTTCATCCGCCAATTTCAAATAATTTGCCAATATCATCGAAAATTACGACACAAATGCTCGGCCACATAACAAGCGACAATTCAAATATCAAACAAGTTAAATTATTTATTTATTTATATTCGAAATGACGTACATTCACACGCGGAGGTGAGTTGGGCAAATATTAATTTGGTTGTTATTTATTAATCATTTTTGGATAATTTGTTATATAGTTAAATATCTTTATTATCGCTGTGGTGCTTAGAACCTTAGAATGTGGTTGAGTACGCGAAAGTATGCAAATCGGTGAAGTGATTGAAAATTTTGCAGCGCATTGATATCGTTACACATTTCTATTATATTTTTTAATGATTTGATCCAGCGACTGATTGACTGAGTGGTGTTGTTTTATTATTGTAAACCACTCAGTGGTCGGACGCGACTACGAAACAAATTGAAACACGTTGTTGTTTGTTCAGTGCTGGTCAGCTGCTTGATGGATAAGTATTGAGTGCTGAATTCGTAATTGTAAAGCGATCTTAGTCAAACAGAACAATATGTGAAGGATACCCATTCGACGTTTTCGTCGTCGACACTGCGCGGAATTGCGTTTTTTATAATTTTTAACCACACAGCGTTTATTTTCACAAGTGAATCGAATTTCGTTTGGCGAAAGGGTTGCTGGTTTTATTTGATCCTTCGCGAAACAAATCGTTTGCGACGCTCGAGAAAATGGTACGAATGTCTGCAAGCTACGGAAGGCTTACGTTTCTTTTATTACAGCGACGAATACAGTTCTTTTCTTTTTAATTTAGATTCTTTTTGCATGCTTATCTAGCATGCGCTTTTATGTGGAAGGCCAAATACTGGTAAACGTAGACATTTGCATTTCGGTATAGATAATGCTTTTGCAATTACGAATCGTGCAATATAATACACACACACAAATTATGAATGATGCACATTGGCTGCGCCAGTGTGCTGATATGATTTTCGAGACGATTTGGCATGAAAGGATTACGTTGCCAGGCTGTAGTTTTACGGCGCGCCAAAGAATGGCCGCGGGTATTTTTATTTCCTTTGTAATCGTTCCGAGTTGCAATTACATAATTAATTAATGGGACACTTCTCTGTGTTAGATCGAATCATGCAGTCTTATTGATAACTTCTTTGCTATCGATTAAAATGAAATACTTAGAATAAGAGCTCTAATATACCAGCTAAAATAGCGAAGTGCAAAATCAGAGAAATTAGCCAATGAGAAGCCATTTATTAATTCAATGAGGATAATAAAAACTATTAAACATTTGCGACGATAAGGAATTCAAATAAGTTTGAATGAACACACCAGGGAGTAGTGTTAATCGAGTTGAATGTAAATTTAAATGATCTATTCATTTCTGATGAATATATACAATATTGATAAACTATGATGGACAAATGAGAAATGTTGTATTATTAAGTAAACTAAATAAAATTTAATGTAAAGAATCTGGAACATACATTTAGGCGCTTTCAATTGATTACGGTTATTATTTATTTCTCATGTTGAACTTCACGTATTCCTTGTATTATTGATTTACTGTGAAAATCGGAGTAGGACGAAGGACCTACTCAACCTTGTCAATCATTTACGAGACGCCATAGATAGTAATTTTGTTTTGCGTGGGATGTTTATCTCCCGTCAGGTGGCACTGTTTGTTGATCGTACATTCTACGCAGCACAAAATAATTCAACAAATTGTTTAATCTAGTATGTATTACATGTGACCTTTATTATGTTATTACCAATGGTGCTTTGACAAATTGACGGCTGCACCGCAGGTACTAGACTCTCTTTAGTATATGTAGTGGAATTATTATTTTAACACGAATGAAACACTTGAATTGTGAAGGGGCGTAGCTGGTGCAAAATGACGATGTGAAGTAATTGTCCTCCTCCATTCCACTTATTCCGACTCTACCTCGATAGTAAAACTTAAAGAACGCTGGCCATCGTCATAGAATACATTTAATAAATTTCAGTGTCATCAACGTACAAACAACTGTTTAAATTTGCAGTAATAAAATTATATACATAAAACGTGTAAAATCTTGCTCGAAACATGAACGTATCGGTGATAGCGTTACAAAACTATAATAAATAAGCTCCAAAAATTAACTAGCGGTAACTAAAATGCTCTGTATTTTACATCGACTTCATGCTAAACCTTTGAATCGAATCGATGGCACACTAACCATGATTTGACTAATGTAATCACAAGCGATTAAGTATGAGCGTGATCATTTCCAAATCATCATTACAATCAGCAGGAATAAGTTAAGTACGACATTGACATGGCAGGTGGCTGGCGATGAGGACTCGCCGCTCGCACCACCGATTTCATTTGTACCCTTGTCTTTCATCTTCGGCGGGATGACCAGCTTTGCGTCACACGCGGTGCCCCGTATGGCGTCTGATACCGTTGCGGTGAGAATTCGGAAGTTGACGTCCTTCACGTCAAGCCTCGAGTACATAAAAGTGCTCAGTCGGTCGGAAAGAACCCAGAGGTTGCCCTTGGCGTCCACCTTGATGTCGTTCGGAAACACCATGCTGACGTTGCTCATGAAGACGCGTCCCTGTGACTGCATGGTATATGAAGGATTGGTGGTCTTCCAGCAGGCGATGGCGTTGAGGTTCAATAGAGCGTAGAATAGCACTCCGGTGTTCTTGTCGAGGAAGGACACGCTGCTCTGGGCATTCGGCCCGCGACTGCCAAGCAATTTGTACTGGTGGAAGTTGTCCTTGCTGTCCTTCGACTCCTCATCACGAAGATACTTGGTATTCACGGAGAACTCATTGGTGCTGCACATTGGATGGAAATACAGCGTGCTGAAGCCATCCTGCCCGGGAGCGGATAAGCCCAGCCCGAAAAGCGCGTCAGTCCATTGGAAAGAAATGCCCGAGACGTTGAATTCACCCGCGGTGGGATCCATATTAAAGTAATTGTGCACAATACGCCAAGATGTCTGCTTTTCCATGAATAAACTATGAGACCAGCTGCGCCAAGGTCGCCGAGGTAGGCATATGAGTCGTCACAATTGGTGTCCTCGACAGCGATGTTCGCCAGGAAACTTTCGTCCTTGACCTGTTCTTTGGGTATCTGGTACCGGCGCAGCAGCGCATCATTATGCAGATCGTAGACGAGCAGGGACGCCGAGGAGTACACCTTGGTGTCTCCCAGAAGGTCAGCTACGCCCGTGTCCAACACCCAGAGACGGCCGCATTGATCGGCTCGGATGCGGAACGGCGAAACGATTTCCGGAGGGTCGCTTCCGGCGCTCGTCGGCAGCTTGTGTGCCTCCCAATTCGGATACGGGTGTAGTTTCGGGCTGTCCATTGAATCTGGAAGTGAATCAACGTGTTGTTATTTAGGGCGACCACGAGGTGACGTCGTGCCTCAGTACTAACCGCGTTAACAATTGTTATTTAATTCAGAAACGCACGCTCTGAGAGTATGCTAAAATTACTCAATTTAAAATGATTCATATGCCAGCAATTAACAAGTGCGTCTGCGAAACTAAACAAAACTTTGTGTATAGTGGTATAGCCAGAAACGATAGAAAAGGAAACAATATGCTGAATTAATGCGGGTTTGTGGTTGACCAAAATTTTGTGACGATAGAAAAAAATAAGCATGAATCATCATATTTAAATGACAGTCACATATGACGAAAATAAAATCGATAGTATCGATTTATCGCGCAATCGATTTATAATTAGAATGTGTAATTTTCGCTTTTTAAAAACAATCTCGAATGACGGTGGTATTTTTAGAATGCAATGGAAGATTTTGCCCAAAATAGTCGAGATCTCTAAGATATGCGTCCTTTTTAAATTGAGATAAACTTTGTACGCCATATCGTGTGATTCGGTCGGATATGATTATAATCGAAACAATAAAATACGTCTGGGTACAAAGATAGCATTTGTTTTTTTTTTCGGCACTTTGTTTGCGAGTCGGTTTAATGTATACTTATCCACGGAGTGATGCTTGACATGCTAATTCGGAGTAAATGAAAAGAACCGGAATAGATTTCGCATGCAATGAGACTGACTTGAATCCCATTTAGAAAGCAAACAGAATGAGACTTTTTGTTACATGCATGTACAGCGCAACACGTGAAACTTTAATTTGCAAACAAACAATCAAAGCGGGTTTCAAAAGTGCGCAGGTGAAAGTGATGCGAATCGCAAACAAACGCCGATTGTGCGCGCCGCCGGAATTCTGCATTCGGGCGACTCGCGCGGACACTTGTCGTGCGGTCGCTCTTGGACGGCTTCTGGCGCTACACCTCACCTGAGAGTTTAATGTAGGTCAATGATGCAGCGACGCCAGACTTCCAGCGCGGCACCGTGATGAACACGCGCTCGTCGTGTACCTCCAGACCCAGCGGCAGATTATTCTCCTGGACGAATTCGCCTTTGGCGATGGCATCCTGTCGATGCTGGTCGGACGTGAAGGCGAAGTCTAGCTGCCGCCATTGGAACGCAACATTCAAATTGTCCATCGCATCGCAGCGTGCGGCTAACGCAACAACGATGGCCAGCGCGAACGGCCACATTTTCACTTTCAATTGATCTCGCGATCGCGATGCAAACGAATAACTCAGCGTTACATAAACCGTTTAGCGTTCACTCCATGCGCGGGCGAGTTTGGTCTTGAACGGCCGCTAACTTTTCCGATCGAGCGCGCACACGACGAATCTGATTGAATTTAAAAACCTAATTGCGCCACAACAACTCAAGTGCGCGGCAATGCGGACAATCCGTGCAGAATGTCAGTTTATTGCGCGCGCGAGATGCGGTGTCGAGCGAAGACAGCCACGCGCGAGTCTTGAATGTGAAAAGTTTTTCTGCTTCGGATTTAATACTAATTGTGCACACTGCGCGGCAGGGTGTGCCGCGTGACCTTACCGAAACGAAACGTAGCAGCGTTATGCCGATGCCGCCTTGCTGTTGCTCTTGCTCAACTTCGCGTCGAGTCCGGCATGAAACAAACGCGCGCTTAACATACACATCGCATTGAACATTACATATTGAGCACTGCGCGCCGCAGCCGTGAGGTGCCCCGACTCTTATATCAACTCTTGTTTCCATGTTTCACGTACCAAGTTTAGTGAATAGTGAAAGTGTACCTTCCACTGCGGTCGAGGTAGGAGCGCACATAAAATATGCATGCTAGAGAACGGCATAGATAAATACGCGCCGCAGAGGCGCGAGCATGCGAAGGAGCGACGACTAGCCATCAATAATAATGGAACGCGTGTTTGTTCTCTGACTTAAACGAGTTTTTACATTTAATTCAATGTACAGGTACCAGCCAACTTAAGTCATTTTCCATTAGATGGTAATAACAATCGAACATTAATTAATGCAAATTGTGTTTACCTGTTCGTATTGTTACGTGAGAAATTTATTGTTCGTCATTCTTTAGATATTTCCTAGACAAACATTCGATTCATTTGTAGATCATACTTATTTATTTTTATTGTGGATGGAATCAATATTGACCTAAAACATGAAAAATAGTTGCTGGTTTCTTTGTGCGCGTTTAATTCTAAAATGGGAACAACATATTTTTGTAAATTGTTTATTAATGCGTTAATTTGTTCCAAGAAACGACAATGTCACAGCAAACTGGAATGGCCATTAACGACAATTAAATGTAATACATCATTAGCATACGCACGTCGGTCGGACACGAGCGCAAATTTAGAGCATAAGAGCTAACGCAAGAAAACACGTCGACAACTAGGTATTTATATCACACGCGTACGCCTCAGCAACAATACGTTAATGTCAATTGGTTTGTTTCTATGATAGTTATTAATCGCCGGAAATTGGCGCTTTCCGGCAAGGGTATTATTATTTACACTGGAATGAGCAATAATTTATTATTATATCTGCCGTCGCGAATGCATTTAGAAATATATAAATATATATATATGTTGACGAACAATTAATTCCGGTAGCAACTGATAACGCCCGAGCGATTATTTTGTGTCTAATTGTCGCCAAGACAATTGTCCTGTTTTATTTTTATCGAGCACTCAATTAGGAAGGACATTGTTACCAACGAAACAATACGGCACGCGGCAATGTGGAACAAACAAGACTTACCCGTATTGTTAGGATTATGTTCTCCGTGAAGATTATCTGATACGGATTTGAATTATGTTTGCGCGTTTGTTGTTGCACTTTTGTTTGAAATGTGGGATTATCCCGTTAGCAGATTGTAAAAACTAAATGGTACTTGAACTTGAAGTGATGCATATATACTCAAATTAGTTTATTGATAAATAATGATATAATAATGCTCATTTAGTTACAAATACATTCTTTCGACGAGATTAATTGGGAAATGTGCGTGGCGCAATATTGGTGGCGAAACATTGACTCACTGATAAGCGACAAACAAATCAAAGTTGTTGTTATGATGCTTATAGATATCAGATGCGACGCAATCGTATATATGTTATGTAAAATTGCGTATGATTGATTAAATGTTTCTACGCACTGCCAACAACAATCAAAACTTTATAAAAGTTATTAGGATTACGGCTAAAATGTTTGGGACCGGAGGGCGTTTATATGCAATTTGAAGCAAAATTAACTTTAACTACAACATTGTTTTATTTGCATTTAAATATGGAGGCGAAGGTTGGCATAGTCGTACCACTAGAATGCTCTTATATTTCTATAACTCGTTGAATTTGTTACTAAAATGTTGGTTAATGGTCTTATTAGGAGTCATAATTAATACTCACGCGGTATATATCAAGATATATCAATTTATCATATTTTTGTCAACTTCTATAGCCAAAATTTTATTCTATAATATAAAAATGAATGGAAAATGTGTTGGTATAACTCAACAACGCATTAAACCAATTTAGCCAATTCTCTTTTTTAAATGTTTGTTGAAGTCCAAGGATGGTTTTTGCGGCGAGAAAAATTTGAATAATTGCCGGGAAAACCCTAAAGACAGCCCTTTCCTTTTTCTAATACAAGCGTTTTCTAACTAAAATATAAATGAAACAAAATTCGCCGCTTTTTTCGATTTGTTTTTTATTAATAATTTTATTTATTACTTTCTTTGGTGAATACGTAATACGAGTTTATGAAGATGCCCTCTGGGCGAAACATGTCAACTCAAAAATAAAATTGTAAATCCAAAATCACGTATAATGTTTAATAAATAAATATTTTTTATAATAATTGTATATATATCGTTTGTTCTTGAAAGGATGGCCAAAGTTCGTGGACGCGAAGATACTTTGATCACCCGAGCTTATCCCCACACACCGCCCTATCACCAGGATGACGGTACTCTTCAGGAGATTTTTTTGCGTCGACTATAAAATAGGCAGGAACAAAAAACTGCCACATTTCAAATCTTTTTAACCGAACGAAGTCTGTCGAGTCCGCTAGTTTATTATAATATTATATCACCAAATTTTCTTTTTCTTTTATTTACAATCTTGTAATTATTTTCCACATACCAATTTTTTTCCGCATAATTTTTGAATATTACGATATAACGTTAATTTTAAGATATAAAGCTTCGGGTTTCTGGAATGCGCAACAATCACGTCTTAAAATATACCCAATGCTCCAGATCTCGAAAAAAATATTACAGTTTTTAAATTTGTATAAAAGATAGATAATTTGATATGAACTTTAGTCGGAATAAAATAAGCTTCTCTGTAATAATAAACTATGCTACTAAGTTAAGGAAATTTTAATAAGTTATAAATCTAATCATTTTCATAAAAAGGCTGGTTTACTTGTGAATCATGTGCAGGTAGAATAGCATAAATATAGGGATACAGGTTAAGTTGCGAAATAATACAAATTGTTACAATTTAAATATTAATTTTTATTTATTAGTATAAAAAAATTTAACATTAATAAAAAATGTCTCGACGAGTCGACATTATACTAACTATGTGAAATTCATTTTATCAGGTCGGTATGTATACAGATCGATTCTTGCGAAACAGATGTGGACAATGTGCCCAAGAATAAATTCCACATAGATTTCAATTAATTTCTAAGGCTTGGTTTAATCGCAGTCCTTCGTTTTCTAGCAGTTCGTAAATGCGTTCGATTTTTCGATATTCTTCATTGTAGATCTTTTCAGCCGTTTCCAGGCATTTGGACACTTTGTCTTCCAGCTCATTCACTTCCTTCGCGAGAACGTGTTCGTGTGCAGGACGAAAAGTGTGTCAAACAAGGCGTAGTATTCATCAATGAACGGTGTGAAATCCTTCCGTAACGTATTCACAACCTGATCCAATTTATTTCGTAGGTCTATCTTGAACTGCTGCTCCTTACCATGATCGATTTTGTTTTCATTTAGAAGATCATCGCGAGTTCGGTCCAGTTCGGCGTAGTATTCAGCAGCCAATTGGTACTTATCTTCTAGGTCTTTCTGAATGGTGCAGTATACATTCTCAGGGTCGAATGATGCAAGTTTTTCTTCCAGTCGACGTAATTGAACATCGGCACTGTCGCAGTACGGTTCATTACCGTGAAGATTATACACGTGTGACAGCAGTTTCTTCGTAGACAATAGTTGCAAGTTTAATGCTTCGGCGTGGGGTGACATGGTTCTCATGATGATCAGCCTCGTACTGTGCGAAATTGAAGTTGACTCAGGTTTGATGATCTCGTCAGTCAGCGCGGGTATTTATTAGCTCATAAACGTTTATTATCATTTGATAAGATGCTATCTTGTAGTTTCGAATTTTTCAAATAATGATATAAACCGGTTTCGGTCAGATATATTTGTCAAATTTTGATGTTAACAGATCTATCAATTTTTATTGAAAATTTTACAATAATACAATAGGAATTTCTGGAAAACACTTTGATATAATCTTTCTGGTGTTCCAACCGTATTTTTAGATAAGTTTTCAATAATAAAAAGACTTTGATTGTTGTTTAGATTTGGCTTACTTAACTGACTTATTTTGATAATGATATTTCAAAATATATATCTAAAAATGTTTTTGAGGATATGGTTGAAATGGGATTTACAGGAAATTAAAACTTTCTTTTGCCTTTTTCTGCTTCTTTTTACCCAACAGTGGTATAATCAGTATATTGTTTTTAAACGGTTTAAAGTATCTTATAGCCACATCTAAGTGTCTAAACTTTGTTAAGATTATAAATTAATTAGTTAAAGAAGGTACTCGAACAGTGGTAAGTAGCCATGTTATGACTCTATGTTTGCATTGTAATATAATTGATTCAAAGTGTAAAATTCGCTTTCAATAATTTACCAAGTAACTTTTGACCATATTCAACTCAACATGCACTAATCATTTATCAGTATTACATGTATTATTTATTGATAATTTAGGAAACTCATATTTCAAATTAATTTATCCATAGCAAGTATAATTATAGTAAAATTTGCAATTTGCAAGTGTGCAATATGCAATGTGTGCGATAATTTTAATAGAAACAAGCTTGTCAATATTAAAAAGTTTCGTTTATTCTTACGTTTTGTAGCTCTCTGCATGTTTATTGTATGCATTTCTTTAAAATTAATCGTTCTGATAAAATATTTGCTTGAAAATATATATTAAAATGTTGCCCTAAGGGTGCTGTAATTTTACACAAGATCCATTCAAAATATAAATTTAAATCAGTCACCTTTGCATTTGAAGAAAGGCAACCCGAAATTAATTCACTTCACATCGAACATTATATTCAACAGAAGGATAATGATTGATATGGACTGTCTTGAGACTAAATTTAAGAATATCCGTTATGTTAACAAAGAAATCAAATTCCTGTATTTTTCCTAGATACCATTATATTCTGGATTTCCTCTTGACCATTTATTTTGAAGAAGATTTGGAAACAGCTCTGATGATGCACATTAATGCGTGTAAGTTCAATTATTACCAGTAACTGTATCGGTATTTGATTAATTTGCGGGTGTATTTTTCGGGTAATTGATCACGACTTGCGCTTCGATCTCTCAAGGCAGCTGATAAAACACGTCTGCAGTAGACTGCCCACATTAGAGCATATGATCAATAAAAGGGTCACAAAACAGTTTAGCGCATATATGTATACATAAACAGGAGAAGTAATGGAAAAAGATGTTCAGGCTCTCAAAGGCATTCAACTATGTAGTAAACTTTCCACGTAAGTTTTGTTGTTTTCGTACGAAAATGTTTATCGGACACAGACAGTCTTGTTAAGAATTGTGCGACCAGGTACACATTAAACTTAGGCTTCTAATGGCACATGTTCTGGTTGGAAGAGGAAAATTTGGATGTTTCATTGTCGCATAGCTTTAATTTACCTCGGTAAACTGTTCTTGTAATGTCTTAAATATTTTTAGTCTATATAATTATATATAATATATATATTATGCATGAAATAATTTGGAAGTTCGTTTCTTGTTATTGTATAGTGAGCATAAAGTAAGGACCTGTTCTACGGTTTTCCATTGTGCGAGGGAGTATAGAGTGGCGGTCCTAAGGCAGGATACTTAGGATACTTACCGGGATGTAAGGGATTTTATTTAAAGCTACCTGGCTATCAAGAGACACATTTGATATTACAATATTTAACATACTTTTGTTGTTTCAAATGTTGCCGTTTCACAATTTACAAATTATTTATGGTATAGATAAATGAACAAAATAACAAAGCCTTGAGACAAACGGTTAAATCCTTTATTGCAATAGCAGCAATACCATGCATGAGATGAAATTAATCAGCCGGCGAACACTGCCACAAACTCAAACATATAAAAGAGCCGCCAATGCCGCCTCAGACTTTCTTAACAATTTGCACAACGTCTTCGTCGTTTAGCACGTGATCCTTGCCGACTTTTTGCGGTTGATGCTTGACTGAACTTCCCCATACCAAGCCACTGAAACAATCAAAATCGAATAAAATCAATTGTTCGAAATAAAATGCTTAATATTGTAATTACTATTTAAATTCCTTGGCGATAGATCGATGGAGTTTGTTGCAGAAGTCTTCAACGCTGGTTCTTTCCGAATGCAACACGATGGGTGAATTGTAGTCGGGCAGTTGTCCCTTGGGCTTGGTATATATCCGCACCAGTTTCAGGTACTCCCACATCTTCTCTAACAGGTCATCGAAGTTCCACCGGTGATGTGCGGAGATCGGTACGCAGTGAGGTATTTTGTAAATGACGTCCAACTCTTCGATGCTTATTTGATCTATGACAGGAAGAAATGAGCACGAATAATTAGTATAAGCCGAGTGATTTTACCTATCTTATTGAGTAAGTAAATGCAGGGCACGTAGATGCGGTTGCCTTCGATGACGTCGATGAGATCGTCACTGGTGGCATCATAGCGGAGCGTTATATCGGCGTTGTGGATCTTGTATTCGGAAAGGATGCTCTTTACGGTGTCGGCGTCTAGCTCGGACTGCGGCACCATCGCGTTGAGGTTCACGCCACCCTTATCCTTTTGCGGAAGGCAATATTGGGAGGCTGCTTGTTCAGCCGCAGCCCGAAACCCTCCAACTCATGCTCTATGAGCTTCTTGTGTCCGAGCGGTTTCAACACGTCTAGCACCATGAAGATGAGACTGCAGGTTCGCGCCACAGCGATTACCTGACGACCGCGACCTTTGCCATCTTTTGCGCCCTCAATAATACCGGGTAAATCCAGTAACTGGAATTGCAAAACAAATTTAATGTGTCTTAGCAAGCATGAATATAATTTCAGCAATATGGAGGTTCAAATATGCATTCCATTTACAATTATTTTGAATTATCATGCATGATTTGATAAAATATAAAGTATTTAAAAGAAACTTACTTGAATTTTTGCTCCCTTGTACTTAATACAACCAGGCACAGTAGTCAGGGTTGTAAATTCATAGGCAGCTACTTCTGAATACACACCAGCAAGAGTGCTGAGGAGAGTTGATTTGCCTACAGATGGAAATCCAACAAAACCTACTCGAGCGTCACCAGTTTTGGCCACATCGAAGCCGTCACCGGGACCACCGCCGCCTCCTTTTGGTGTAATGAGTTCGCGACGCAACTTAGCCAAGCGTGCTTTCAAGAGGCCCAAATGTCCGGCTGTTGCTTTATTTTTTGAGTGCGGGCCATCTATGAACAATCGAATAGGTTAAGTCTTGCCGACATGTAAATTTCCAATTAAAATCACTTACCTCCGACTCAATGGACGCTATTTTCTCTAGGATCGTACTCATTTTGGCCGAGTTCTTTTAACGGATGATAGACCAAATAATTATTCCTATAAATTCACTAGAATTTATTCAAAATATGTACAAACCACATCTGCGTATTTGATAGCATGTGGCTGCATGCAGCGCAGACAGCGCTATGACGGAATTTCGTATAATGCTTGATTTGACGTATGCAACCAACTATACAGAGCGTTGAAATATCTGGACATATTATAAAACTTATTTTGAAAATGATTATTAACTTTGGCAAATTTATAAATTGTTACATACATTTTAAACTTATACGTAATTTTATTTAAAAATCTCGTTATATATATAATTACATGCAGATTCAATTACCTAATGGGCTCCCGATTTTTAATCAAAATAAAAATATAATCCGTGAAGGCTATGATACCTAAACAAAACATGATAAACAAAATATAGAATATAAAAATAATTCAACACGTGAACCTTAGAACCCTGAACAAAATTCTTAGTTATGGCTCCCACAAAGAATACAAAACGCAGACAATCGGCAGGCCCAAAAGGCACTGTAATAGGTAAATCTAAAACATTGGCCGCAAAGACCAAAAAATCCGGTCAAAAAGTAAAGGCTTCCCCAGGAATGCGCTTGAAAAAATTATTACTACAAATGCAACATTATTTGCAAAACTCATCTAACGGGACCAAGAAAATCCGCAAATTATCAAAGAAACCGAACAATAAACCGCAATCCCAAAGGAAGAGGAGCAAGTTGGCTAATATAAAAATAAAAATCTAGGAAAATGCTGCCGACGTGCTCCCAATCAACGTGGAAGTGGTATTGATACTCTTCTAGCAAAAATCGCCAATAGAAGTAAAACAATTCATTGAGATTGCCAACAGCGGCCCGAAGACAGAAAAATTCTAGATTTGTTTGAATATTTGAGCATAAAATTCTACAAAATCGAAGAAACGTTTTAAGTGATTTTTTTACTATTTATCATGGAAATGTCTTCAAAATATAAAATTCATGTCATTGCATATATATTACTAACTGACTAAATATATGTGTACTTTGTCAATCATTAAAGTCTTCAAAGTTAACAATTTCTTGAACCTTTACTTTTGGGATTTAATTTTGTATCTGTTCTACTTACCATCATACAAGTACATGTTTTGAAATTTAAAAAAAATAAATACTTGCTTTCATGTTCGTTTATTTAACTTCTAATAGCGTTACATATTTATTTCATATAAAATTAAAAGTATATTAACTAATAGTATAAAATTATAACATACAGACTTTGGATATTTTTATTATTTAACGATTGTAATATTAAAGTTTTGTATAGACCGAACTAGTAGACGGTGATTGTTCTATGTTCGCCTCATCGGATGGTAGTGCCATTTCTGAATCGAATTGCTGACTATCTTCAAACTCAGAATTTTCATAAATGATTTCCGAATCTTGTTTTAAACCCAAAGCTTGCTGAAGAAACACGCTTCCCTGACTATTCTCATCATATTCAGTGTCATCACTGTCATCGGGCTTGGCATAATCATTTACTTGCCTTCCTAAATAACCGACGTGTTTATTCTTCTGCATGTAAAACTGACTTCGGAATCGGCATCATCACTGTTATCATAGTCCGGCATGTACAAACCGTCACCACAGTGTTTATAATACGAGATGCCCATATTTCGTTTGTAGTCTTCGTAGGTTTGATCATCTAAATTTTCCTCGCCAAAATTCGGTTCACTCTTAGAGATAGTTGTTTTTCCATATTAAAAGTATGCTCCAAATCAACATTGTTCTCCAGTTCTAAACCAGCTTCTAAGTTTACTGCGTTTCCAACGACATAAATGCATCCTATCTCCAAATTGTCCGGACGGTGCGAATAATCTTGATTCTCAATATTGTGGGAATATAGACATTTTCTCCAACATCATAATTGATTGGTACGATAGAAACGTTTGAATAAGAACATGCAGAGGCCTTAATGTTTGATTCCTCCCCAATTTCTTGAATGTTTGATTCTTCTGGAATATTTAGTTTATCATCGTCGCTGAGCAATGGCTGTATTTCGAGATCTTCTGCCTGGCAAGCAAAATTTAGGAGCAAATTGGCATCGGCATTACGTTGTTCTTCAATGAGGTGGTAAGCAACTTCAGCCAAATTTGACAGGGAATTTTCGTAAGGTTGATTTGGTAATGCCACATCTTCTGCAGTTTGTATGGAAGGGGAATCAGGATTCTCAACCGAGGCATGTGGAAACTCGTCGATTCGTTGAGTTGGAAGCACGTCGATTAGGGAAGAGGTGATTCGACTTTTCTTGAGATGGTCCCCTTATTACGCTTTGTTGATTCACCTCGTTTACCAAGAATGCCCGCTGTCGTTGCGAAGGCGATAAAGGGTATACATTTTGATGTAGGATTTGTCGTCTGACAAGTTTTCTGGGAGGAATACGTGTCCTTCGCTTTAGCATGATTTTCAACTTTCTATCAAATTGCGGAGACAAGCAAGGGCTTTTATAAGCTATCATTGCCTACTTTGATTTATAAGATAAAAATAAAAGTTGTTTATTGCTGCAACCAGCAAACCAATCGAAGGGTAGTGATGTCCTCTGACGTCACACATAAAAATTGCAAAGTCATTGCCAATTAATGTGCATCTATGATCAAGTAAGCTCTCCGCATCAAAATAGCGCAGCATTTTGCAATCGTTGCTATATTTATGAGGGGTGCGCTGACCAATGAGGACTCATGTTATAACTTTTGTTTTCATTGTTTTCTATTCTATTGTTTGACGCTGAGTAATGAATAACAACTAGAAGCATGCACAGAGAAACAATCCAAAACAATTGCAATTAAATTAAATCAAAACCCGCCTGCTGCATTTCCATAATAGCAAGAAGTCCTCATGAACTTTAAACACGGACGTCCAAGGCCATGACTAAAGCACTTTAGTCACGGGGTGGGACTTGCGCCTGCACATTTGCCTACGGTGCAGCACAAGATTATAAGATATGTCATGCGCCGTCAGTGAAACAAATCAAAGCATGCGCCGCTGCTGTTGCTCGTGTCAGCGCGGCACGACATTCATAACTTTACATCTTCAGTCGCTTCATCTACAAGAATCTCAACGTGGAAATAGAGTGGAAGTAAATTATAACGTAAGTATCACGTGACTAAATTGAACTTTTGTCTTTTGGTTGTGATTTATAATATACTATTTTGGAAGTTTGTTTACATACGTAAGTATTAAAACAAAAATTTAAAAGAATGCAATTGTTTACTTTGTTAGTTGAATATTAATTTTGGAGAGGGCCCTTTATTATTAGTTTGAATTAAAATCCATGAAGGCTATGATAATTTATTAAAATAACAAAATTGTCAAAACTGAAAAAGCACAAAATTCTAGTTAATGATGGCTCCAAGAAAAATCACAAAACGCCGGCAATCCACGTATAAGAAATCTACCGGGATTGCGAAATCCAAACCAAAGAGCAAGAAGTGTTACTCCAAGACGAAAGATTGCTCGGATATGCGATTAAAGAATTTATTAAGGAATATAAAGAGCTATTTAAGGACGTATGCGCCAGCGACAACCAAAAAATGCCGACCAAAGAAGAAAACAAGTAAGAAGACCAAAGCCACCAAGAAGTAGGGCAGGTCGCGCGTTATGAAAAATAGACAAAATCCGGCAAAGTGCTGCAAACATACAGTGGCACACTGAAAAAACGGAGTTCATCAATATGCGGTATAATCTACGTCTGAATGTGTGAAATGACAAAGTATGTTTCTTTGTTATTATTAAGACATTTGTAATTCATCTTTTTATACCAAATCATAAAGTAACGTATAAGATATATACATATACAGAATGTAGAGAATATATATAATTTGAATTCTTTTCTGTAAAAAGCGTATTGGAAAGTAAAACTTCTTCTTGTTTTTGGATGCTTCTCGGAGTGATGATGATGATGATACCAGTGATGATATTACTGTATTTGACGAATCTGACGGCATCTGCGCATAAATAAGAAACTTACGAGTAGCTTGTCCTGCTTATTTCAGTACAGGGAACTACCGAATGGTATATATACTCGTATATATATATATATATATATATAGACATCAGTGATGTTATTTCTACATTTGCCGAATCTGACGCATCTGACGGCAACTGCCCATATTTAACTGATTTATTTTCAAATCGTTTTTAAAATGAATCATTTCATAATTTTGTATCTAGTATGGCAGAAGATAGCATTTCATGCATTCAGTCAAATACTGCACCGCATTCTGATGAACTCCATTCTTTCTGGGTGTTTTCTGCAAGTACATCGACAATATTGGCAGTCCTTTCCTCTACCGTCGTACGTTTGCAGCCTTTTGCTGGTCTCCGTTTCGTTTTCGGTACGCACGACGTGCGCTTCTTAGTGCGGGACCCCGCCTTCTTACAGGATTTCTACGCTAATTTGTGCTTTTTGTTCGTCCCTGGCATTCATGTCAGCAAATAACACTTGATCTGTTGTAACAATTTCTGCAGTAGCATATCTAAAGAACCTTTTGTTGGATTTTCCAGTTTGTGTAGATTTCCTGCATGCCGGACGCGGGCGAATTCGTTAATATTAATTTCAAAAATGTACGTTCAAAATGTACGTATGGCAAGTGACAAAAATTTGATGATTTTGCTTACAAGGCAAACGGCTTGTATTAGATTTTTCAACAGAACTAACGCATTCCTACGTACCTACATGTCGGTCCGTAGAGCTCAGCAGGTCGCAGAAGCGCTTCGCCTGAAGCAATTGTGGAAAATCTTCTGATGCGATGGTCATTTTGCCAAGGATGAATCTTATTCGTACAGTTTCTTGAAATATTTTTCCGTTGTAAATAAATAGTGTTTTCATGGCAACGTGCCGTTGTTTTTGATTCTTTTTTGTTATATGTTGCTTACGGGACAACACAAACAGTGAAATTCTGTAATCAAGTAGCCAACTAGATGTGCACCCTCTTTAGTGATTGTGTATTTTTTTGTCAACAAGCACTTTGATATTAATTTCAAGTTGTAGCTAAAATAAAGTGACGTGAATACCAGAAAATTATATGCTTCCTCAGTTTTGCAGGTGAGTTTTTGAGCAAGCCTCATTTCCTGGAAATTTGAGTTTATTTATTTGTGAAATACATTTATTGATCAGGAGTGCTGTGCAAATATTTGTTTCAACAACTGTCATATGTCAATCTAGAGTGGTAAATCGCCGAAATTGCGCAATAAAAAATGGCCCCCCAACTTCGGAGCCATACGAAAAGCGCTAATACTCCTGCTGCAGTCGATAAGTCTGACAGTATCAGAATAGAGATAGATTCTGAGCAGGGGCCTACGTCAACGTCGACGGAATTTGTGGATCCAACCATCGCACGCGCCAACCGAGCGCTGCGTAAGACGCGAAGAAAAATTCGCAGAATCATAAAACTCAACAAAGAGATGAATTTAGTGGCGCGACCAGCACCGCCGGCGGATATTCCACCCCAACACCAGATTGTACAGCAGTACCAGTGGGTGATTCATTACTTTCCTCCGATGACTCATTGTCTCCCTCCGATGTTCCTCCAACTGCTCAATCAGTAGACCAGGGACTGGAATTCGTTTATATTAATTTCATCACCTGAATGTAACTGCCGCTTCTATAATTCAGAATCTACCCACCATCCTCAGACATTGTTGATTTTTTTGTTTGCTATATTTGATATGTAGTTTGTGTAACGGCAACATTTGAAGCGATAATAAATATGAAAAATTTTATAAAATAAACTTGTGTTATAACTCTCTAAAGCCCAATTTCTATCCATGAATAATAACGATTGATGAAATGATTGACTGCATGCACAAGTTGGTATCTTCTTTGATTCACATTGCTTCGTGAACTTTGGCAAAGTTGTTGTTGTTGTAGAAACACCAAAAAAGAAGAAGTTACTGCATAGGACCTGATTTCGAAAGACTCCAAGTATATACAAAACAAAGTGAAGTTTGATTAATGTGTATTGTTTTTGTATCTAGTAGAAAGGCACAACAGCAGAAGCTAATGTGAGCAGTTGTGAGCCATCAAGAACTTGAACAGAATGTCCGATCTGGAATCATACCATGCTTTATATTTATAAAAGTATTTATTTGTGGGTTGATTATTGTAGTGTTGGCATGTCTCTGAGAGTAGCAATCAACATTATCAAGCAACATTAATTACGGCGTCCCAAATGCAAAAGAAAAAATAAAGTTCAAACACGTATTATTATGTAAACTTTTTATTTAAAGAATTTATTTCCAAATAAATGCACATGATCTTCAAAAATGTCTGACCTCATAATTTTGAATTTCTAAAGATGAATCCCGACAGTCTTCATGGCATTTCATACATTCAACCAAATACAGCGCCGCATTCTGATGAACTCCATTCTTCCTGAGTTTGTTCTGCAAGGACATCTGCAATATTGCAAGCCCTTTTTCGGGCCGCCGTACGTTTGCAGCCTTTTGCCGGCCTCCGTTTCTTTTTGTTACGCACGACTTGCCTTTCTTGGTGCGGGATCCCGCCTTCTTACATGCTTTTTTAGCTGATTTGCGCTTTTTGTTTGTGGTTGGCGCCGACGACTGTAGATAACACTTAATCTCTTTCAGCAGTTTCTGCAGTCGTATATTCGAGCAAACATTCGCTTGGGCGCTGCCCTTCTTGCACTTTGAAGAAGCATGTTTGGCTTTAACAACCCGTGTTGATTTCCTGCATGCCGATCCCCGGCGTTTTGTTATTTTTCTGGGCGCCATTACTTACGAGAATTTTTGCTTCTATACGTTTAACAGTATTTTGTTATTTTAATAAAACATCATAGCCTTCCCGGATTTTTATTACAATAAATGATAAATGGCCCTCTACATTATTAGAATGCAACTAGTAAAGTAAACAATAATTTTTTCTACTTTTACCAATAAAACGTCAGTTTTTTCACAGTTTTAGACAGAACAAAGTGGTATAAAAGAGGTTTAAAAAGTGGTATAGTAATATAAAGGTAAAGTTTGTATAAACGTGCGTGCATTTAGGTACATTATTAGTTCTGCAACAAGCTCGTCTTCAGTCAACAGCATAATCTGAATTGTAATAGTAACATATAATGTGTGGATATGCAACCACATTTTTTAGAACAAAACTTAATAGAATTTAATACCTGACAAAATAACAAATCTATTTTATGCGCAATGCATTTTTTGTATTTAAAAGTTTTGTCAAAAACATGCTTGTGGTATTCAAAAATGTAATAATTTTTAATTTTGTATCCTAATCCAGAAACATATTTTGAATGTCTTGATTATTTTCTTCACAAATATATCATAGATTTTGGTACCTCGCATATGAGTATATATATATATGTTTTCTTTGTATTGTAGTCGTGGTTTGGAATAATCTTGATCTTGTTTGTGTCATGTTGCTAAATTTTTTCGGGATTGACATCAAGCTTATCTTTCGTTTGTCGCATCGACACATGTTTGCTGCATTTTGCAGATTTTCGTTTATAAAATGGAAACTCTGAGAAAAACAACAATGTGATTCCAGAAAGGGATGTCAAACTCCAACCAGGCGCGTCCCAGTTGGCGGATAGGAGCTCCCTCACCAAGGTTTGCTGGCGGGAATGAGGAAAATAAAATACCCCTCGGAGATCAAATAGAGTTTTCCTTTCTAATCCACTCTTCTATACTTACCTTTTCTTTCCTCACTCTTCTCTTCCTACACCTTCCCTACGCAAACCGGTGGTCCGACCGTTGAACCACATTAAGGAAGTGCGCTACCACACTCCCAGAAATGGCAACAGCTAATGGAAACAAAAGAAGCAAAAGAAGCTGGAATTTAAAAAGGATATAATACAAGCTAAGGATGAATGCTGGAACGCCTCTGCAAAGAACTATCAAGCAACCCTTAGAAGGCAAGCAAGGGAGGTGGTAATAAAAAACTGGGCGGCAGATTAACGCTTCCACCACCAGACCTTATCAGACAGTAAATAAAGCAACTATTTCCCAACGTCGCCGTGAGTAATCATTGACAATAAAGATATTCCTACACTGACGGAATCGCAGATCCAAATGGAAGCTAAAAGCTTAAGTTAAAGAAGGCACCAGGTCCAGACGGCATCACCTCGAAGATAGTAATCTGCATAGTACAAAGTTGCTCCAACATTGTGTTAGAAGCCTTCAACCATGCTCTAAAGGAAGAAATGTTTCCAAATATATGGAAAATCGCGCGGTTAGTGCTCTGCATTCTCCACGGGCTAGTAAAAATACCTCATACATATTTACTGCAAAGCTACTAGAGCATGTCATAATGTCATACTAATTATGCATGATGACTGACATAGACTATCTTAAAGGCCGACGGGGACCTGTCCCTCCAACAATTTGGTTTTAGAGACGGCAAAACAACAGCACAAGATATACAAAAGTATGCCAAATAGCAGACAAAGCAAACACGGGGCTCTACAAAAGAACGCAGGTTTACGCCCTATTCACCTTAGATATAAGAAACAGATTTAACAGCACACCTTGGGATGGGATCATAAAGGTACTAAGAAACAGGAAGGTTAAGGCATGGTTAATAAACGTGATACAAAACTACTTCAGCAAAAGAAAGATAATGCCCGAAAATGACATCATCCGTCGGTGCAGCGTCCCACAAGAACCATATCCATGGAATGTCTATTATCATAAAGTGCTGAGCTTACCAGTGGTAGCCACGATGTCCCTCTTAGCATATCCGGACGATCTGGCTATGGTTGCAGTAGACAAGAATGAGGAAGGCCTTCAAAGAAAGCTAGAGCACACGATGCGATCTGGAAGGAGAACCCTGAAAAGAAAAAACAACTGGAGTTGGCTCAAGAAAAACCGAGGTAGTAATACTGTCTGGAAGAAGGAAAGTGTGGCAAATTAAACATCGACGACGTAGCTATTCAAACATTAGAAACCATAAAATACCTAGGTATCTCTACTTGGAAAGAAACATGTCCTTTAAGAAGCACCTCACTGCAGCATGTAACATGGCGAACCGTGTAATGCAGCTGCTAGCTCTGATCATGCCCAACGATCTTGGACCAACCTGCGAAAACAAGAAGCAGGAAAAATGGGACAGAACAACGGAGAAAGTTGAATTAACGAAGAAGCTAATACCAAATATAGGTGAATGGATTAACTGTATACATGGAAACATACATTTCTACCTGACACAGGTACTGAGGTGGCACGGCTACTTCAGAGCCAACCTGAAGAAGTTTCATCTTGCAGAGAACGACAAGTGTTCCGACTGCGGGGAAATTTAGACCATGAACACACCATGTTTGAATGTAAACGATGACGTAAAGTCAGGAAGGACACGGAGAAAATATGCGGGAAACTGACGCTATAAAATATAGTGATGACAATGCTGCAATGCAAAGAAAACAGGAGGGTAACTGTAGAAATGATACATCTTAAATACAAAAAAACAGGAGGAACGGGTAAATAAAAGGATACCAAGAAAAGCAACAGGTAGACCCAACCACAACAGCAAAACCTGTACAATAAGACTCGACAGCCGAGACTTTTGTAAAAGTGAGAATAATCACGAAGTAACTACTTTCATCGCAAGCAATGCATTGCTCCCATACACCATGAAGGAATTGCTTTGAGTGTGTCAATAATGTCAGCAAAAACCGTCCTCTATCTAAGGTTCGAAATGTAATAGAATAAAGTAGCAGCATTATAAACCCAACGCATAGATACAAAAAGAGATCTTTAATTATTACATAAGACAAAAATGTACGAGCATTATAGGTATTACTATAATCTTCAATTGTATGTTACCAAGTATACCATCAAATTTACATATAATATAAATTTCATCCATCGTCGGGTTCAAATTTTTCTGCGCCATCAAGACAGCACTTCCACATCTATTTCTAGCATGTTTAAAATATAAAGTCAAATATTACATATTTTTGTAATTAAATTATAGAACTTACCAAAGTTAATCACGCACTCGGATAGATCGATGTCACCATTTAGAATGTCCTCAGATATCATTTGCCTGGCAATTCTCTGAACCCTCTCCGCATCAATTTCTAGTATCTCGGCCAACATCGTAAAACTAATATTTTTGTACATATTGCTTGCTGCAATTAGATTATGCTGAACCAGAGCAAGCTTCAGGAAGGTGCAGTTGTGGGCAAACAGCATTTTCTGGTGAGGCTTCAGTTTCATCTCAAACACCACTAATTCACTAGGATATACATGCAGGCCGCGATATATCTTTAGAAGGACGCTGTATATTTCCATTGTACGGGTACGTCGATCATTGCAGAAACTTGCGATCAGTCCACTGCGCTGCTTTCCGGGGATGAAAGCATTGTGCAGGTGATTGCGTTACGTAGGGCTGCGTAGCTGAACTCTTGGCTGATACTCGCAGGTAGCGAGATCGTGATAGTGTTGAGCCGCATCGATAAACTTCTGCTGGAAGTCGAGGACGCGCGCACAGCCCACTTTGAAATCCGTATGCAGGCTCTCGTCCTCCGCATCTACCAGAGTATACCCAGCGCGATTAATGTAAGATTCCGCTTCCTCTCCGTTGTGAATTTCAAGATAAAACCGGCTTAGTCGTAAATAGGTTCCTAATTTGTAATTTGAAGAGTATTGACTAGAAATAAATCAATTAACATTATTTTACACATTTAATCTACAAAAGTTACCCGTGGATACCCGTCTCCAGTTCAATTGACTTTAGAGCTTGAATCGCTTTTTCCCATTTTCCTTTTAATTCATAAACAGATGCCAGATGCTGCCTGACCATGGATAATTGCTCCCCAAACGCCATTTCTAGTGGTAAGAATCTATTGGAGGCATGTTTTGCCACTGGTTTAGATATGGAATGTTCCAATCTAACAAGTTTAAAACCGAAATATGTAATCATCTCCTTGGCGAGATCCAAGGGCAAGTTGTGATCAACAACTGCAACAAAAGAGCAGCAAAGTAATATAACCAACTAGAATTGTAAATATTTATAAAACTTACGTGCATTGATATACTTTATTAGCCCTGCAACAAGTTCATCTTCAGGCAAATTTATTATCATCAGATCGCACAGAAAATAATATCTAAAAGAAAATAATCATGAATTTTTAAAAATAATATCTAATGATTGTTACCATACCCAACTTCAAGATATTCTGTATCATAGTTAAGATTAGCTAGTATCGCCAGTTTCTCATCAATTATGTTAAGATTAATAATCGGTCCGATGTCAAAGACCTGCTCCATCCCTCAAAAGTTAAACGTGCTTTGATTTGAATTTATATTTGCTATGATTCGGTGCAGAACTGTTACCACCAACCCGCCGTGGCGCACTCTATTCGATAATAGTCAGTTTTTGTACTATGCCCATTCAAATCTTTACAACCATAATATCGTTTTGTTACGATTAAACGATAACTTTTGCAGAGACACAGAGGAAAACAAGCACAAAACAACAATATGTTTAGACTGAAGATAATTATTTAATATTTGACCAGTTAATAAAAATACATTGCTTCTGTTGAAATTTTATCACACGCACCATGTTTCGAACAATATTTGACCTATTGAATTCTTTTTAAGATTGATCCAAATCTTCCTAAAAGATTTACAATATGTACTGCTTGTAAAAGTGATAAGCACGTGGAATCACCAACGACAAGAATGAACTGAGCATGATTTAAGAAGTCTGTAACCTGCAGCTGCACTGTTAGCACTGAGCCGAAATTGCAGCGTCGGCACACGGTGTGCTTTGGCGCTCGATCATCGTCATAAATATTATTGTTTATACCCGTTTATTGGTAAGCGCGTTGTGTTGGATCGAAAACAATTCTTATTCTTAGTTACAAGATACAGTAGTGCGAGTGCTAAAGGTAGTCAAGGTACCTCTTGACTGATTTTTATCGATTTTCATCAAACTCGGAAAGTCGAATCAACTAAATCTGCTATCATCACATGAAGATATCTGCCGTGTAAACCTTCAGTTCTGTTAAGTCAAAATTAATCTTTGCGAAGTGGTATTATTAGTTTTAATCAATAATATAAAAATAAATCGCAAAATGTTTTGGTAAGCGCCTAACTCAACAACGCCTAGACCACTTTGGCCAATGTTCATTGAAGGCCAAGGATGGTTTTACGGTGAGGAAAATTTAAATAATTGTCGGGAAAACCCTAAAGACAGCCCTTTTCTTTTTCCAATACAAGTTTTTCTAACTAAAACATAAACGAAACAAATTCCGCAGCTATCTTCGATGTATTTTTGATTAATAGTCTTAAATCGTGTTTGGTGGAACCCACTAATATAATTTGTTCTTGAAAAGGTGGCCAATGTTCGTGGAAGCGAAGATACTTTGGTCACCCGAGCTGAACTCCACACACCGCACTATATCACCAGGCTGATGGTTCTTTTCAGGAGATTTTTTGCGCCGACTCTAAAATAGGTAGGAACAAAAGCAGCCACATTCCAAATCTTTTGACAGAACGAAGTCTGTCGAATCCGCTAGTATGAAATATTAGTGCGCTCCTGGCAAATTACACACAGTGAACACAACATTCAGATTCATTCTTTACTGGGTGTCGATATAGGTGATATCCTATGGACATACAAGCTTCCGCAAACTATCTTAAGCTAGGGTAAACCTAATTATTGCCATCTTAGAATTCAAGATTTAAAGTCAATATTGAAATTTATATTATTTTGGAATCCGCAAATAACTTCCAATTTTGTATTTTAAAAAGTGGAAATATTTGACTTTTATATCAAACTTATAACCGTTTGAGCTTTACCACACCATGTTCTCAAATTTTTGAAAAATAACAGGGTTGCAGGAGAATGCCAGTTGTAGAGAGCCTTTTAAACCGCAATATAACTACGAATATGAATGAATCAATGCAGACGTACCACGCGCATTGCACAACATGTTTGTAAAATGATAGAAAGGTAGCCATTTTGAAAATTGATGGAAAACACCAATTTTTGTTTGCATCTAAAATATAATTCGTCATTGTTTCTGACGTCCAAGGATGCAAATTACAAGTAAATTACAAAACAATAAATAAGTACGCGATTTTCTGAAAATCCCACTCAAACGTGATTCAAGTAGACTACAGTTCATAAAACCCAAACCAGTCTACACAAGCATACTCGACAACACTACCAGTAACACTTTATTAGTTAATTGGTTCAGCGTTCAGTGGATAACTGAATAAACCTGCATGACACAGTCGCGTCATGTTAAACCTTGTGACGCAAAAAAAAGTAATACATCCACAATTGGAATGTAATTTACACTTCAAAACAAATTGGGTCACATATCTGTATTTACAATGAATATGTAAAAGAACACTGAGCAATATACCACTGTTTTGTGTATTATTACTAAGGAAAATAAAAGTACAATATGATTGAGACAGAAAATATTAAGACAGATTAACAAAAAAGACACTTCCAACCAACAAAATAATTCATATAATTCACATTATACTAAACGGCACAACTTCGGTTACGTTTCCACACAACGTACACCATACAAAAGATAATTAATAACTAAACCGTTAAACGCAGTGAATCTTTCGCGACATCGACTTATCTGGTATTGTGTACATCGAATACAATCTGCCACTATTTCCCGGATGCCTAACGTAATTACAGGGTAATCTTGTCTTATCGATTAAAAATGCGCCAATGTTAGTTTCATATGTACAATTACAAAAATGTCAGTGTGTATTTTATCGTCATCATGAGTTACCCTATGACGCTCAATTTGTGTACCATGTTATATTTCAAATTTAAAAACTAATGTTATTTCTCTCTTGCGTTCTTTAACTTATTTACAACCTTATCTTAAGTATAATTTTAGATTTCTTTACTATCATAAGACCCAAAATGTGTGTTTGTGTGAGTGTGATTCGTTTATGTTATGTTAGCAAGCCTTTCATGCACATCGTTTTAAATTAAGCTAAGAATTGACTACGTAACAGCTACTCAAATCAATAAATTAACTTAATTTGTCGCATTATTCACCCATTGAACATAATCGCTACTGATGTTCAACCAATGTAAAAGAAAGAAGACATCTCATAAACTAAAATATCGAAAGTAAGGAAGACTCAAAACTAAAAATGTAATTAACATCCGTAATGCGCATACGTGTGCTACAAGCACACTGCGACCAGCTAAACAACTTAATGACTATCACACGAATTTTACATTGTATAATATATGTATCTCATTTTGCGTTAAATTTTCGCTACTTCATGTTTTATACTTTTTTTGGTTGACATTTTTTGTGTATTTTTCATGTTTTTTTTTTTTTAATGATAAGTACAAACTTCGGAGGATTATGTATGTATGTACTCGCATTTTGAAGGGTTTTTTTAGCATTATGTGGATTTTTTGTTTTGTTGTTTTAATATGCGCATTACTCGTCGTGCACGTGGTGTGTGCTAAAAGTCCATGTCGAGCAGGTAAAGGACGAGATCTTCGAGCGTGCGAATCACGGCGTGCACCAGGAATACGACAAACCACGTGACGACAAAGCGATGCGCTAGCGACGTTTCAATTACGTTCGCGTCCTCCTCTCAGTCAGACTTCTGCGTCAATGGTGGGTATTCCTGGTCGTCGCCGAACTGGAAGCCGTCCTTGGGCGGTGACTCTACGGCGTCGGACATCTCACGAAACTTCTCCGAATCTATCGTGCAGAGGAACGGTTAATTCACAATGCGAAATCAAACGCAGGCGACATACAAGTGATGAAGATGTGTTATGAAGTGTGCACTGCACGTTGCGTTGCACGCGCACGTCAGGAAAACAACTTGACAAATTTAACTTGATATGTTGCTTTGCTGCCTGCGCTGCTAACGATGACGTGCATGAACATAATAAATGAGAAAAATGTTACTGTTTTCATATTATAAAATGTGAAGAAAGTAAATGTAAACTAAACTACAAATAATAAATAAAAATACATCTTGCCAGCAGCATATTGGTATAGTGTAGCTTAGCTTATTGAAAATAGGTATTGCTTATATAAATACTTTAGTGACAGGATAAGTTACCAGGAGGCAAGAGAGAAAAAATGGTCAACAGGAGAAGGGCCAGGGTCGAACGTGGTCGCAATCGACTGTGTGATTTGACACTCGCTTGACAGAGTTGGTCAAAAGTTGAGTTGAAAAATAGAGAGAATTAAATGTATCTATGTAAGTAATTATAAAAAAATGGGTAAACATAACATACTGACCAGTACCTGACATTTGACCGGCTGGATGGCCTTTCAGGATGCCCGCGTAGCTACCTAGTATTGCCGAGCCTTGCAAGTAACAGAGAAAACAAAATGGATTTCGTTTTGTGATTTAAATTTGTATGTTTTTTTGCGTTAGAATTAACGTCCAATTGTTTTCGAATTACTTGAATCTCGAGTGGCACGAGCTCCCATCGAATACATTTTTCACGGCGATGATATATTTAATTTCCCCTCGCATCGGTGAAACACAAAGTAAGCGAAAGAATTTCGGTGAAAGAGAACTTAAAACAAGAAACAGTACACGAACCAAGGATCGGTCTGTAATTATGTGTGAGTATGTCGTGTATCATTGTGTCTTGTGTGAGTGTCTGTGGTCGGTGGTGTGGTTTCGCACGTTATGGTACAGAAATTGTGAGATTGTGAGACAGGGAAGTTTTTGTACGGCCGTGCGCAACGTCCCCGAAACGAACTATGAAAAAGCCCGCCGAGATCCGTCGACCAGTGGCCGCAATTTACTGTTGCAAGATACTAGTAGTAAGTTTAGCAACACAACAAGAATATGTTGGATAAACAAAATTAAAATTAATAAACTTAAAACAAATCACTTCGTCCCATGCACGTTATTTGGCAGCCAACGAGCGGGTGTTTACGAGAGAGTTGTAAGTCGATAGAAATTAAAAGTAGATATATGCATAAAATATAAAAAAAAACTAAGTCATTAGTGGGTGGTTTTGATTGGAGGCGGTCTGTTTTACTTACCGCTGTCCGGATGGATGGCCTGCGCCTCAGAGCGATTTGGCCCGCCGTCGGGTTTGTCCTTTCCTCATCAACCAGGCCGTCGAGGCGGTGTTGTTTTGCAGTTGCAGGTCGCCGCCTTCGTTGCCCTCGATATTGTACACGTACAAGTAGCCGTCTTCGGTCGCCACCAGTAAACGTGGCTGGCCTTGAATTCTATATCAAAACGTTATGTATTGAATGCGCGAATTCAATCAAAGCGATGTACTCACGTCGTGATTGCAATGACGTTTCGGACACCAGAGAACGGTAAATGCGCGGTCATAAAAGCGCGTCCTTGGTTGAAAACGTCAGTCACTTGCGATGGCAAATAATTCGACAGGTAACCCATCCAACTTGACTCTTCTACACTTTTCCTAGGGCTAAAACAACGCCAATCGCATATTAAACACTAGTTACATAAAATAAAAAGAAACGTACATGCAAAAATAAACATTATCATGCATTAATAGAACAGAAAAATACCAGTGACAATAGTCATGCATGATCTACATAGTTCGATTATCAAATAATAAAGTTGTTAATGAATGTTACCTCTCTTTGATTTCTTCTAATTTGAATATATGCACAGTTTCAGTGTTGCTGCTGCAGGCGAGAAACTGTGAGCACATGCTGAATGCCAGACAGCTGATGTCCACGCAGCGCTTCACGCCACGGCGGAACTCGTACAGCTTCGAGCCGTCGATCACCGAAAAGACGCGTATCACAGTGCCCTTCTCGGAGGCGGTCGCAATGCGCGCCCCCGTCGGGCTGAACGCCAGCGCCGCCAGCGGGCTGTCATGAGCGTGGATCATCGTTTTCGCGTGCTACAAAATCACCCACACTATTGCTGGACCCTAACTGCCATAAATTGCTTACATACCAGATTATTCGTGTCAAATATTTGCACCTCGCCAATGCTGTTCGAGCCAGGGTACGCCAGGTAACAATTTTCGCTGCTTATGCTCAGCGCGCACAGTCCCTGTGGATTGGGTGGCGTGTCCCGGATTGTGTGCAGGACTTTCATATCGCGGATGTTGTGAATGTACAGGCTTTCTTCGAGACATACTACCAGACGCAACCTGTTGCAATTAACGCATTAGATGGCTGATAAAAACGCGAAAATGTTTAGTAAATTACCTGTTTAACTTGACAGCCAAAATAGTATTTGAATATGAATAGTTGCAGATCTCAGTTCCCTTCTTGAAGTGGCACACTTTGAGCTTACGCGAGGAGTTCAGCGTAACAACAGCCATGAGGCTGCTGCTGAAGAGCCTCTCGACCAGGCAGACATCCTCGGTGGTATTCGTGTAGATCTTATCGAGCACATCTACGCCGGTCAGCGAGAAGAGTCGGTACCCTGCCCGGCTGCCAACAGCCAGTGATCTGTAACAACGCAACGCTAAGTCCAGTCGAGCTTGTAAAAGTTGCAACACGATCAGCGCTGGCAATCGGCAATTAGCAATCCGCGCGCAGGCGAGCGAGCAATCCGCAATCAGCTGATTGTTGTTTATTTACAACAGTCGGATGGCCCACTTTTACTCGCCGTAAGAAGACCAACACCAGCTGCGCCCGTGCGAGTCGTCATCTCGCGCGAGACAATGCATGCGAAATCGAACGAGCGCAACAACAACATAACAACACAAAAACAGCACGCAGCGAGTTGGCGCGCACCGCGAACGAACGAATCGAAATTGATTCGTCCTTTGTTTCGCAGCGCTGCACTGCTGCCGCCACTGCTGCTCCTGCTCGCTATCCAGCTAAACAAAGCTCATTACGTGACGCCTGTTTTTACGCGTCGACACTTACGTGCAGTCCTGATTGAAGTTAACGAAAAATTTCGCGTGCTGTTCGAGTCGGTCGAGTTGCCCGTGTTGTTCATGGGTCCGACTGGCGATGTCCTGGGGGCTGAAAGCGGCCGTCCGTTCGCGCACGCACTCACTACTCACACACACGATGGGCTAGAGGGCTGGCGGCTGTTGGGGGCTGTTTGGCGCGCGCGGCGGTTGGGCGAGTCGGGGAAGGCGTTCGCGGGTCGTGCTGCTGCACAACAAAGAGCGACCTTGGTGATCTCACGCGATTATCACAGCCAAACAACAGAACGCGCTCATGCGACTGGCAACACTACTGCGCGCCCATATTGTGTATTGACATAAACAGCTGATGGTTTGATTCGCAATTGCGCACTTGCGCATCAACCTACTACCAGCAGTGAACCGTGTGTGGGGGCGGTGGTGGGGGTTCTGAGATCGCGGCGCTGTACCTTCGAATTACTGCAACACTAAAATGCACACTTTTTAAACCTGAATGTAACAAATTGCAAAAGTATTAATTATTTTCTATCAATTGTCATTTTGTATAACCAAACAACCGCTTGCAACTTAACTCACAACTATGAAATCAGAATAATAAACGTGCGTGAATAAAATTCCTTTTACACTCAGAGCGCAATAAGTACACATACCTCTTCATGCATTATGCGCTCCGCATGCTAAAAGTCCTATTCAGGCACCTAATATGTTAACAAACATTAAAACAAAATTTGCCGTACACGAAGCAATAGTAGTTTAAAACATACGTGTTAGATCCTTAGGCACGTCCCGCACGTCCGATGAGTTCAAATTACAAAATTCAGGTCGCGCACGTTTTGTTTCTCTTCGTTCTCGTTCTGTGTATTCGCAAAACTTTCGATTTGTTTTCGTTGCACCGCTGCGCGTGTATGTCACAACAACTCCACCTTCAAACCACCAAACAATGCATTGTTCGTTCTTCGCGCGCGCGCGCGTTAATAAACAAAACCTGCAAACAAAACTCGCACCGTTACCCTGAATGCAATCCGCAAGCGCACTCACTGTTATGCGTTGTAGAATTTGTGTTCGCGGTCACTTCGCAGCCGAAACAACAACGCCGAGGATGCGAATTTGAATAAATGCGTTTGTAGCATTGAGGCGCGATCGCGGCTAAAAACAAGACGCAATTGAGCGCGGTGGGTGTGCGTCACGCGAGTCCCCTACTTTCTCTATCAATATACACGCCAAAACAGGAAGCCAAAAATTCGTTATTGACGAATTCCTATCGTATTGTGATAGGCGTGATAGTGATATCAGTTATCTTCTGACTAAGCATGTGCTTAATTAGTCTTGTCATAGTTTTGTTTTGTTTTTTTATCGGCGCGCCAAAGGAATTTGCTCCAGTATAGTTTGTACCAGCCATGTTTACCAGCGATAGTGTTGTTCTGCTGATAATGCGCTCTTTATATTGAATATTTTATAATAACTGATATGATTTAACATAAGTCACTATGCCAACAATTGCCTGACTTAAAATCCATTTGATTAGCAATTATAACATTAGAATTTAGATTAGTTTTGTTAGAATATTTAATTGTGTGTCACACCTTATTTATATTGCTCTCAACTGCGATTTAGTTCAAACACAAATATTTTGTAAGTAGAAATATATATCAAATAAACGAAAACAAACATGTTTTGATAAAACGTAACAAAATAACAACATTGCCAAAGCAGTATAAATGTTTATAAAGTTATACCATAATATATCTTTTCCATACTTTCAGAAAGTCAATTATTATTAATGCGCATAAACAATTCAAATTCTTTTATATTACAACACGAATTTAAGGTTAGATAAATTCGCTTTTCTTGCATAGTTTGAGCAATTTTAGCAAGTGTGAACAGCGCGTCGACAAGAAAGCCTATAAATATACACCAATGCAATTCCACCAGGTACTGTCCACATATGTATCACCGTGGAACGTATAAATAGTTTCTTTTAATTCTTCAGAAGTACCACTAGGAAGTTTAAACAGTTGCTGCAAGTTGATCACTTTGTCATGGAGTTGCCTTGGGCGAAGATTTTCGTCTATGTTCTCACCGTTCTCGGTTACGTTTACTCGGGATGGGGCTCCGGCCTGCTGAACAACATTCGTGAAGCGGTTATATCTGCGGATTCTCTCTTCGGCGGTTTATTCAACAACATCTACGACGTCGTCAACGACATTAATAAATTCAAACATGTTTTCAACAGTGCTGGATCGGAAGATGAGTGTATATTTCAGTGTCCCAATATTGGTAATCAATTGTCAGCTAAATATTGTAATTTTTTAAATTGGTGCTTGTAGATGTAATGCCAGTGCCTAATCGTAACCACAAGCCATCAGCAAATGGCTGTGGCTCAATTGGGATGAAGATCAACACTGAGTATCTGCCAGCAATGACAAAATGCTGTGATGCACATGATATCTGCTATGATATGTGTGGCAGTGGCAAGATGGAGTGTGATAGGAAGTTTCAGCAGTGCCTGAACAATCAGTGCGATGGCGTCAGTAAAAATTTAGGCGCACAACCGGGAATTGGTAATTTTCATACATGATTACTACATGAAAATAATGTCTATCTAATCCGATTGTAAATGTTTTCTTATTTTTAGTGTGCAATAAGTTTGCGCAACTTCTAACGGATGGAATCTCGAGCATTGGCTGCAAGTTTTATCTGGATGCGCAAAATCACGCGTGTTATTGCGCTCCTACGAATAAGGAATCGAAAAAGGCGAAAAAGTTCACGAAAGGCTCCGATTTGTAGCCGGCACAATCAAGTTATAAAATAAGTTATTAAATTATTAAACACCAAAATACAATTATTGTAACATAGAAAATTTTGAATTAGTACATAAATCATCGTAGTATTCTAATCAAATTAGAACTTAAATTCCTAAACAAAAATAATTCCGCTAAGTGCATTCAAATTAAGAGCAATACGATAAATGAACGAAACGAATTTTTGACTACTAAATAATCCATACGATTATTGTAAATGGCAATTGCATAGCCCTTAAAGTGTTCTTAATAAATGCATTTTTGCATTTACCAGTTATGCTTGAGAATAATTCGCTTCAACTGTGAATTCTTCTGCAAATAAATCCACTCGCAGTTGATAGCCCTATCGAAAGGAAAGCCCTTCGGACGGTACAAGTAGCAGTCACCCTTGTAGTTCTTCGGTGCGCGTAAACCATTCGGGGGGACATAGTGGCTCACGTGGAAGTAGACCTGGAAGTTTTCGTGGGTCAAACGTACCGGACTCCGCCTCTTGGAATACTGAACAAAATGGCGTTGCGCCAAGCGATGGACCAAGTTCCATCCAACATGAAGACGGTAGTGAAAACTATCCACTTCGATAAAATAGCGGGCAGAATCGGTGAAGGTGAGCGGTTGGCCAGCATCGTCAAGGCGGGGTCCAATGAACACCTTGATGAGTACGTCCAGTTTGGACGCCGAAGACAAACGCATCTGGAAGTTGAACGGGCGGCGACACACTTCGCCGCTTTGATATCTGAATGCGCGCAGGATCTTGTGCACGTAGACATCGGCGTAGGGCACAACGTAGGGAACTTAATTTCGTAGATGGATACGTTCGTCAGCTCCAAATCGTACATCTGGTAGCTGGGCATCAGTTGAAAGCAGCGATGGACGGTGTACAAGCATTCGAATGCTTGGTATACTTTAGTATAGTAGAATTCCATGGTAGTTGGGGTGATAAGCTGAAATGCCAACATGCGGATTTGAAATTTTTGAATAAAATCATATTTAAAATTTTTTTGAAAAGGAAATAAAAATCGACTCACCATTTCCAAGATGTGCCCTGTTGGCCCCACGAGGCACGTGCAAGGCAAACGCATAACTTGGCGCTTTCCTGGCTGGATATTGGAGCCCTGCGCGTTCTGATTACGATTTAAAACGTTCTGATCATTTAAATCTAGATGCTGAAGCACACGCCGCGGTTGAGCTGGCACGTGTTCCGCAGTGGAAGGAGACGCTTCACTGTGCGCGTTCCAGGGCGCAACATTTTCAACATTTTCCGTTGCATTCGAAATACCTGGATTTGTCTCCTGCTGGACATTATCAGTTGGTGTATTTGGAATGGTGTATCCTATGAGCTCAGGCCAAACGTACGGCACCAGAAGATCCAAATTGTTCCGTTCCATTGCACTGCTTGATCAAAAATGAATTTCAAACCGCCGCCTGCTTCTGTCCTTCCACGAGGGATGACAACGTATTTTTGAATTTGTCAAATTAGCTAGGCAACTTTGATTGCATCTTTGCACATCGATTTGTTAGGCAAATAGCCTAACTTGTCAATAGGGTTGGTTTCAAAGGGAATAAAAACACAAAAACTGCATTTCTTGCTCAAATTTAATTTAATCTTTAAATTACTTAAAAGAATTTACCTTTTGTGTGTTAAATTAAATGTTTCTTTGCTACTTTTGCGTTGTTTTTGTATGTATTGGTAACAATGTCACTTCAAAAAAAAATGCACCAAATTAATAACCCGCAAATCTTCCCAATTCTTTTAAACTACGGCTTTGAAATTATTGAACACCACGTAAGCGGTGTACTTACGTGCTGAATCTTATAACTAACAAACAGAATAAATCGAGGAAAAAGAGAAAAATAAAATACATGTACACTCAATCACCACATCAGACGACTTTGTAGCGAGCCTTATTGAATGTGTGATGCCCAGACGTTTGCAGTTTGAGCAATTCCTCCTTGATAAGACGCGTGATCTCACTTTTCGCCTTGGAGACGGCAATGTCGCTGGTACTCTCAATCGCAAGATATAACTTGCGCTCGCCTTCAGGCGGCGCCTTGCCTGTTGCCACGTATGTGCCACGCACAGTGATGCCCGCTTCAGAGTATTCACTGATCAGCGCTAATGCCTCCTTGGACGTAACGCGCCATCTCGCCTGTTGCGGGAAGTCGTTTATCTCCAGTTCCTCCTCGTATTTCCTAAACGTTTGTTCCGAATCATCATCGCCGCGCTCGTCATCATCCTTTGGCTGGTAGTTCAGCTTGGTGTTGAGTTTCGCCGCTAATTGTTCGGCGACAGTCTTCGCCGTAATCAGTGGATGACTACCGCTACCCTTCAGGATCGATTCAGCGGCCTGCTGCGTGGCAAACTTAGTGTCGCCTGCCATACTTTTGGTCAGGTTAATTCGCGACGCAAGCTTCTTCGCCAGCTCTAATTTATCGACGACAGAGTTCTGCATCATCTGTGATGAGTTAATTACGCCCAGTGGCGCTTTAATCTCCTTCACGATGCGTTTCGTCGCAAACATCGATTCGATCTGCTGATCAATATCGTGTTCTAAATCTTCATCATCGGAATCCGCAAGTCCCAAAGCGGCTTTCTGGAACTTCTTACGTTCGTTCATCGCGGCCGCTTCATTCTCGTCGAATTTAAAGCCTTTGCCGCTGAAACCGCCACCGGAGTGCACCTTTTGCCTTCCGCCTGCTGCTTAATCTTGTAGTTCTCCCACAGGTTACGCAACGGCTCTGGAACCGGTATATTTGCCAACTCAAACGCTTTCACCACGTCTCCCGAGTAACGATCCTGCTCCGGAGTTATGAATGTGTACGCGAAGCCTTTGTTCCCAGCGCGTCCAGTGCGCCCGCAGCGATGGACATAATCTTCGTAATGATTAGGGCAGTCGTAATTCACCACCAAAATCAACTGCTTCACGTCCAAGCCACGGGCAGCAACAGAGGTAGCAATTAACAGTCGAACCTTGCCGCTTTTGAAGTCAACAATGGTACTGTCGCGATCAAATTGATCAATACCACCGTGCAGAGACATACAACTATAGGAAGCTTTCATAAGGTCCTTCAATAAGATATCGGCGTTCTCTTGTTTATCGACAAAACGATAATTGCACCGTGCTCTTGATACACGCCAAGCAATTCCAAAAGTTTGAGGAACTTCTGATCTTCTTCGATGATGACAACATGCTGTTCCACTTCCTTGCACACTACGGAACGACCCCAACCTGGATCTCAATCGGCCGTTGAAGAATTCGCCGCGCTAACGCTTCCATTTGTCGCGGGAATGTAGCGCTGAACATTACAGTCTGTCGATCCGGACGGACATTGTCAATAATACGCATTACCTACAGAAAAATCAAAGTTTTGCAATAAAGCGCACAAAACAATGGAAATCAAATTAGTTACCTGTGGTTCAAAGCCCATGTCAAACATACGATCGGCCTCATCGAGGACAATATAAGTGACGCGTCGCAGATTGGTCACCTTGCCACTGTTGGCAGCAAGCATGTCGATCATGCGCCCCGGCGTGCACACGATCACCTCAGCGCCGCGTTTCAGCTCAGCGATTTGTTCCGAAATGCCAGTGCCGCCGTAAACACAAACCGCATGCAGATTCAGGCTCTTTGTGAAGCGCTTAATATCGCGCCCGATCTGAATGCACAACTCACGCGTCGGCGTCATTATGATTGTGATCGGCCCGTCCAGTTCTTCAAGCGGTGGTTGATCCAAAATGTGCCTAAACATCGGTAAAAGAAACGCAAGTGTTTTACCGCTACCTGTTTTGCAATGCCAATGAGATCTCTACCTGACATAATCGCCGGTATGGCTTGCGTTTGGATGGGCGTCGGCTTTTCGAAGCCGAGCCGCTTGAGAATGTTCAGCTCTTTCGTGGAGACGCCGCATTGCGCCCATGTTTTTATCGGTTTCGGACAACCTCGGCCTGCCAACACCACAAATAGTTAAAAATCTGCTTATATTTGAAGTTTTAAGCGTGAAAAGCACTTACCTTTTACCCGAATACCTTCCATCTCTTCCTTGTACGCTTCCACTTCATCCGGCGTCATTTTTGCGATCTCCGGAACTTCAACATAGAATGTCTTGCGGAATGGCGGGTACACCACTTCGGTGTGATCAACTTTAGCGAGTTCCTTCTTTTGTTTGTTGGCTATATTCGCCGCAGTGTCCTTCAAGTCTTCCAACTCTTCCTCGGAGGAATACTCTAACCCATCCTGATTCTGTTCAATTAGTTCTCCTTTGTTTTCACCTGTCTCGCTTTCGCCACGCCCGTCACTATCACCATCTTCTTGGTGTCTTTCGCACCCTCTTTGTCATTCTTCTTCAGACCAAACTTATGAATTTGCATTACTTCCTCATGAACGCCCTTCATAAACTCGTCCAACGGATCGACATCCTCATCTTCTTCCATACTATTAACAGTTTGTGGCACAACGTCAACCTGAGATACTTCGACTTCGACTGGTTTCTCAACTAAAGGTTTTGATGCTTTATTATTTGGCTCTTCAACGGTTTGCTCCGTAGTTTCGGTCATTTCCGAATCTTTCGCTTCGGTTTCGTCAATTTTGTCTCGCCATCACCGCCTTCGTTAACAATAGACTCAACATCTCCATTTCCTTCACTCTTCTCACCTTTATCTTCGTCCTCGGAATCGTCCTCAAGCGACCACTTCTTAGCAGTTTGCTGTTGCGAATCAGGTATCACAACTGCTGGAGCCGCACCTGCTGCAGCTTCCTCTTCCTCCTTTTCTTTCGCTCCGCGCGCCAGCGCTCAATACGTTCACGCCGTTTTTGCATCTCTAACTCTAGTTTCCTTTGTTCTTCTTCCTTGTCCAAGTTGGCTGGATCAAAAGGCAGCTCATGCTCCTTTCTGGATTCCTTTGGTGACCGTGATCTTGACTTGTTGTGACTTCGTTTATCTTTCTTACGTTTATCGCGTCCATCACTATAAAAGACCACCAATTTAACAATTAGGATTTTTTCTATATTTTGAAACCATTATTAAGATGAAACCTTACCGTCGGTGAGTTTCACGTTCATGGCTGTACGACCTTCTTTCTTTGCGCTCATCACGATGATCTCGAGACCGGCTGGATTTCTCCTGGATTTGCTTCGCCTTTCTTGACTTTTGCTGCGTTTTTCCTTCGACTTGCTGGAACGTTCGCGAGATTTGGAACGTCGACTGCGCGGTGATTTACCAGAGCGATCCTTGTCACGATTACGACTCCGAGATCTTCTACGCTTTCGCGCCGGCGAACGACTACGATCACGACTGCAAACACGCAACATTGGCATTAAAATGAAGAAGCAAATACAAAACAACAAGCGTCTTACCCGCTGCGAACCATGGTTATAACTACGCCGCTAGTGCATCAATTACTATGTTTACAATAGCATACGTGCAATTGTTTAGAAATGATAACGTTGAAATCGAGATGAAACATGATCACAGACTTTGATTACAATCGAAGAACACACATTCTTGCTATGCCGATCGAACAATTACGCTGGTAACATGATTTGGTCACTTCTAACCTCAAAATTTGAATTACCCATAAAGCGCCAAAACGCCACACTCGCAACTCTGCCATTTATTCAAATATTCAAACCACGAAGTATAGATACTTCGTGATTCAAACTGTAAAAAGAGTAATAATTTATTTAATCAAGTTACCGTTGTCATTTATTTGATATATTTTCTACTTTCTTTACAAATATATTAATAAATTATTATATATTATTATTATATTCTTGAAGAGAATACGAATAAGGAAACATAAACTTCATGTAATATTTCACAGACGTATTGCCGTTTATTTGTATTAACTTCAAACAAAAAGAGGACTTCACAATAAAAGTAAATTTAACGTAAAAAGTCAGGTTCCGATTTCGTCCAGAGTGGCGTTATTACACAAGTTATTTCTACAATGGGATATATTCGGAATCGAATGCTTCGCCCACTCTGCCAATAATCCAAAATGCCGCTTAAACTATATGAAGCACACATAAATGGAGAAACGATTGTAGTTTTAACCTAGAGGTAATTACAATGTATGTACATAGATAGAGTGATCACTAAAATGTAATTTAAGCATAGCTTAGCACCATATTGTCTTGAATTTCGTTCGTGTGAAAACACGCCATGTCTTATCGTCTGAATATTTATACACACTGATTGTGAAATCGAAATAAACCATCTCGGTAATAAATATGCTCACTATCTAAGTGGTTTCTTTACATGTTTACACGTTTTAAATACTCTCCATATAATATTAAACGTTCTCAAAATATCGCTCTCCTCCCCGGCTAACACATTTATCTCATTTGTCGTTTGCACCAAAGTTTTGTCATCAGAGATTCCTCTCTGAATGTATTCGAAAATATGGTACTACTCCACTAAACGTAAAACCTTACATCACTAACATGAAAATTGTAAGCGTATTGATGTCAACATAGAAATATTGACGTCTTGGAAATATTTTACATCA